GCAAAAAGAGGGGGCTCCTTCCACAGGAGAAAAGCCAAGATATCCCTGGAGTAATTCCAGAGGCTTGCAGGCTGAGGTAGTTTTACAACATCACAGAAACATGACATCTTATTTTTCAATAGTCCTCACTGTAGGTTAGTGCCTTTTGTTCTTTCTTTTCAACACAAATTTGTTAAGGAGTGTTGAAACCAACCTCTTACTAAAGTTTGTCTGTGCCAACCTACCACTTTTTTTTTTGTTTAAAGTAGTATTTTCTTCTGTATCGAATTCTGTTCATAGATGGCTAAAATAGATTTAAAAGTGGGAGTATTTGTCAAGCAATGTTTAGGAGCAAGCATCATTTTTTGCCATTTAACCATCATAACAAGCATATATTGGGCAGACAGTCTGAATAAAATTCCATTGTATAGAATCGTCCTCCTTTATGAATTATATTTTTTATGGCAGATTTATGCCTCTGACAGAGAAAATTCAATACGTAGCTGTATTTCTATTATAGATACAGTCTTCTGCTAGCCAACAGATAAGCTTTTTATCAGCAGCTATGCTTCTGTGGCACTCTTCTGCGCTCCTGCCAAGCTCTGCCTTCATTCCTTTCATGAACAGATCAATGTGCAAACATCTGAAAACCTTAAATAACATAATAGCTACTTGAATGCATGCCCCAAAAAAGCCCCAGAACCAAACTGATTTCAACACTGCTACACCAACATAATGTACCTAAAGCAAATCTACAAAACCAAGGAAAGAAGGGAAAGCGATTGCACATACCTACCATTTCCAAAGCTGCCCTGCCCCACAGTTTGTATACATCAGCTTTTCCTCTAAGCCACGGTGGGACCCCACCTTCCCGTGCCTCTTTGCCACATCACTGCTCAAACAGAACATGCAACACCAGCATCAGCCAGAGCTGGTAATGTTGGGAAGAAGAGTCTGGGTAAAGAACGTGATGAAGAACAAATAGAGGGGAGAGATCACAGTGTGGTGTGTTGTTTGTTATGCATAAGAACAATATTTGGAGGGGGTACATGTATCAAAACACAGAGCCACTGGTTAGTGCTCCAGTCTAAAATTCAGAGATGACCAGCAGCTGCATTGTCCACAGTGGCTGTCAAGGGTAACTGAGCACTATGCATTTATCAGGAAGCAGCAAGAATCTTCACCTTCCACTGCCACACAAACAGATGACATTAGCCCATTTTGTCTTCTCTGCTCTTGTGAACTATCTCTTTGGTCTCCTTTTTGCAATGGGATAAGCACCTGTGGAGAGAAGACCCTTTTATTCTGTTACCCTTCAAATGGGAGGATGTGTGCTTGGAATGATGCCTGTTAGCAGGAGCGATGCTGGAATACTAGAATCAAAAAGTTCCCCATTGGGAAACAGTGGTGGTAAAAGAAGAAAACAGAAGAAAGTGAAGTGACCTTGGTGGACAGCCATTGAAGGAAAAAAATGAGAAAAGAAACAGGGAAAACTGATTGGAAAGTTGCCCATGTGAGGGCAGTATGACTTATAAAAGGGTACAAAAAATGGAACATGAAAGCACGCACCTTCCCCCCAAAAACCCAAACAAACATAAGCATACGCAATGAAACAACAGACGTAAAAAGATGAATCAAATCTCTCTCCTTACTGAGGGGTTATACTGCCTTATCTTTTTTTATATGAACTTATAAATATATTTCATTAGCTTTTTTCCTGTCAGGGGGGATATAAAAGATGCTAATAAGTTCTTACAGAAGGTAAATAGTTTAAGGGGATGATACTAGTGATCCTGAAGTATTAAAATAAAGATCAAAGCCAGGACTGCCAGAATAGGGTTTCTAGGTTATCTATATACCATTACAGCTCTAAAAGATTAAAGACTCATTTGAACATAAAAAGATGAAAAAATTGTAGGGATCATCTCCATTATAAAAATGGCTTGATTACAAAACACAGTAAAGGCCTGATTCTCTCAGGCTCAGACTGAGCTGGTGTTTTATGAATAGATCCATTAAAATTAGTGGGATTGACTCTGTGTGATCTGTTTCTCAGCAAGAATAAGGGTTTCCAAAGTCAGTCTGCTCAAGCTCAGGTGCATTTTTCAACACTTCAGTCAGTTTCTGTTCTGGCTTCTGGAGCAGTAAAGATGACAGCAGCTTTTTGGCTGGTCACCTCCATTGTCATCAGCAGTGCAGTTGTTATACAGATAAATATTTGTCATAAGGAGTGAAATCTGTGCTCTGCAACTTAAACCCATCAGATCATCAAGTATTGTTACAGTAGGTGCTAGCTCCACCTGGTGCCATGGGGATGAAGGTTTCTGCATTCAAACTGTAATTCCTTGGAAACGAGCTGTTCTGGGATGAGTGGGATAAGTAAACAAGTGCACTAGGCCACGCAGCTCTCCCTTCTCTCAGAGCCACAGCAATCATGGGCATAAACATTTCAGACATACTGCTGAAGTAGGTGAAAAAGACCCTGAATGAAGTAAAAGTCAAACCATAGTACCGAAAAGACCAGATTGCTTTTTTTTTTGTCTCTGTTTCAAATGTCACCTGTTATGGCAATGTACTCTCAGGACAAATGAGGCTTGTGGAGAGGACAAGTAAAGCTCAGTTTGAAAGAGGGTGGTTGTCCTTCAGAGGTGGTGTTTCTCTTCTCATTTCCCTCTGTAGTCAAGCACAAACAGCTGCAGGTCTTTACATAAACTCTAGAGTAGCACTCAAAACAGAAATGTAAAATTCAGTATATTAGAAGTTGTAAGCCCCAGCTAAGAAGTAGGTATAAAGGAGAGCTGGTTTGTTTTGGTGTTCATATCTTTACATTTCCATCACCTTCTGTCTGATACTTCATTTTGCTCAGATGTCTCAGACTTGCTGCTACCGTTACAAATGTTATGATCACTGGTGGCTAACACACAGGCCAGGTAGAGAAAGCAAGTGAAAGTAGAGGAAAAAGCTACAGTGCCTTCCTAATAATTTTTAGGATTATGGCTTCCAACATAGACTTGAAATCTGTGACTTGGATTCACCTATAGGTCTGAAGGAATCTTTAGCATGCATCCATTCCTGCTGCTGACAGATGGCAGAGCAGAGAAGGACGACTATGAAGATAACAGCATTTCACCCACAGCTTTGTCTTGCACTGTAGTAGCATAAGGTTGCTGTGAAATCAATGGTGTTTCAGAACATTTCTTGCACTGCCAAGGTTTCTGTCTGGAGGTAGCCCAAACACACAGTCTAGAAACTCTCAGTCTTGGCACAGAGGTCACACAAAAGAAGATTCCTAGCCAGCAGACAGGCAGGTTTGTGTGGGTCAGAGCCGTTTCTTTTTGTGCCACGAGCCCTGCCTGCCCTTGGGTTCAGCAGTAGCAGTCATTTTTCCCCTTCTTGGTAGCTGGTGCAGCAGTGTTTTGACTTTCAGCTCGGGAACAGAGCTGATAACAAGCGATGTTTTGGTTTGGCCAAGGACTTTGTGAGCCTCATGCTCTGCCAGGGAGGAGGGGAAGCCAGGAGGAAGCAGAGACAGGACACCTGACCCAAACTGACCAAAGAGGTATTCCATACCACAGCACGTCATGCCCAGGATGTAACTGGGAGTTAGCCGGAAGGGCTGGGAGACTGCAGGGTTGGAGGAGGTATCGGTCAGAGCTTGGTCGGGCTTGGGGGGCGAGTTATCGGTCAGAACCTTGTTATTTCCTTTATCATTATTATCATTTTCAGTAGTGATTTGTGTTATACCTTAGTTACTAAACTGTTCTTATCTCAACCCGTGGGAGTTGCATTCTTTTCGATTCTCCTCTCCGTCCCTCCGAGAGCAGGGGGAGGGCAAGAAAAGGGGGGGAAGTGAGCGAACGAATTACCTGACTGGGTTTAAACCACGACACCTTTCCACCTTCAACTGGGGAACTATAAAGCTTTAAGCCCCTCAAAACCTTTTTCTCCCTCAGCTTGTCAGGAAGGTGGCTAGGCAAGATACAGGAAGGAAAACCACAGAGAGACTGAAAAAAAACTGGAAGTTTTAATATATTCCTACTCTCTGTCTCCGTTTCTCCTTTTCCATGCATCAACAGTTTTAATAATCTGGAAAAAGCAAAACCTGAAACTGGAAAATCCTTTCCTACCCAGTGTCACAAAATGCTCATCATATACTGAGAAACATTATGATGAGAGGCAATGCATTTAATATGTTCTCTCTCTTTCTTTAGCTCTGCATTTGTAAAATAGCTACTCTGAAACAAACAACTTGCATTTTAAAACAAATAAAAAATTAGGATCTGCTTACGGAACCAAAGTTAATACAGAAGGGGCTTTTAAACAAGATAGATGAAGAAAGAAATAAATAAAGCAGTGAAATCACTCTTACGTGTAATCTCTCTCCACTACAAAAATAAACCACTGCTACATCTACGCTAAGCATATGTAGAGTAAACAAAACAGATGGAGGATTTCCCACTGCTGGTTCCTTTCTTCTAAGGATGGTTATTTTCAGTTCATAAACTCTCAGCTGTCATCCCTGATTTATCCCCACCACAAATTTCTGCCGGGGTTACCCGGCTCCAAGCTGGGGCGATGAGGCACGTCTCCCAGCTCGCCACTCTTCCCTCCCTTCCAGCCACAACGTTTGTACCCGGGCTTTGTGCTTCTCTTGTAACCCTAGTTCCGTTCTTCCCTCGAAGAGGGCCTGACATTTAGCGCACCCCGTTTGTGCTCCTGCATGGTGAGATGTGTGTGAAGGAGAGGCACGCTCTGAGTCTGTTGGCAAGCATCCTCTTTTCTCCAGGGAGGGAAAAGGCGCTACTAGGGATAAGGAACCCCGCCTGCATTCAGCCCACTACCCAAACAATGGCTTTATTTAAACATATAAAGACATCGCTGTACAGAGATCCTTTAAAAAATGTTTTCGCCGGAGAGAGAGACCGACCACTTATTTGCTGGAAAGGGCTCTTCCCGCCCCTTCCTACTCCTGCCCTCCCTCCTCCCCCCGCCTCCCTTCCCCGTATATTATTACTCTATGCCACCAACGTTAAAACAGCCCCACCGCGCTCCCTGCCCGCGCCTCGGGTGCGAGGCAGCCCTGCCCTCGCCGCACGCACCCGCCGGGCTGCTCCTCCGGCCCCTTCCCCGACCCGGCCCCGGCCTGGCCGCACGGAGCTGTCTACCCACGGCGGGTGCTGAACTGCCCGACGCGGCAGCGGTGGCCGGAGTCCTCCCGGCCTCTGCCCGGCGACCGGAGCCGAGGTAGGAGGCGGCGGGCGCCGCGGAGGATGGGGGAAGCCGGCGGCGACCCCGCGCCGGCCGCCTGAGCCCGCCCGCGCCCCGCACACAAAGCCTGGCAGCGGCCATGGAAGAGGAACTGAAGTGCCCGGTGTGCGGCTCGCTCTTCCGGGAGCCCATCATCCTGCCCTGCTCGCACAATGTCTGCCTGCCCTGCGCCCGCACCATCGCCGTGCAGACCCCAGAGAGCGAGCAGCACCTCCCGGCCCTGCTTCACCCGCGGAGCCCCGCGCCGGCCGCCGCCGCCGCGCCGGGGCCGGGAGCGGCCGCGGGCTCCGCCGCCTGCCCGGACTCGGAGTGCGCGGCGGGCGGCGGCGGGGACCACGCGGACAAGCTGAGCCTGCACAGCGAGACCGACAGCGGGTACGGCTCCTACACCCCCAGCCTGAAGTCCCCCAACGGTGTGCGGGTGCTGCCACTAGTGCCGGCGCCCCCGGGAGCGGCGGCTGCAGCTCCGCGGGGAGCCGGCCCCGCCAGCTCGTCCCTCACCTGCCCGCAGTGCCACAGGAGCGCCTCCCTGGACCAGCGCGGCCTCCGCGGCTTCCAGCGCAACCGGCTGCTGGAGGCCATCGTGCAGCGCTACCAGCAGGGCCGCGCCGCCGCCGCGGCCGCCGCCAAGTGCCAGCTCTGCGACCGCAGCCCGCCCGAGCCGGCAGCGGTGCTGTGCGAGCAGTGCGAGGTGCTGTACTGCGCTGCCTGCCAGCTCCGCTGCCACCCGGCCCGCGGGCCCTTCGCCAAGCACCGCCTGGTCCCGCCGCCCTCACACCCGGGCGCCCCCGGCGGCGGCGGCGACGGCGGGAAGGGGGCGGGCGGCGGCCGCAAGCTGCCGACGTGCGCCGAGCACGACCTGGAGAACTACAGCATGTACTGCGTGAGCTGCCGCAGCCCCGTGTGCTACCAGTGCCTGGAGGAGGGCAAGCACGGCAAGCACGACGTCAAACCCTTGGGCGCAATGTGGAAGCAACACAAGGTGAGACCCAGCGGTCAGCCCGGAGGAGCCGGGGGATGCTTGGCACTGGGGTTTGTCCCAAAGCCCCGATGTCAGGTTGCGGCTTGTGGGACATAAGGTTACTTCACATCCTTCACCCTCCCTGACTTTTCTTCCCTTGGCGTGGTGTTCTTAGGTCTCTGGTCCTCCTTGCCTGCCCGTTGACTCTGCAACCCCTGCTCAGTGTTAAAAAACCCAGAATCCCTCCCATGTTGGCCTCACCGTAGCCAGGAAATTTTAGGCTCATCCAGGACTCAAGCAGAGACCTGGGATTAGCAACTGTTTCACTACCTTGTTTGCCTTCCACAGGGTCCTTAGCCATCCCATCCTCTCCCAGGTGGCAGCAGCTGCCTGTGAGGAGATGGAATGGACATTTCTTCTTGCACCACCTCCCTTTCACCTGGGATTCAGCGCAAGCTGCCACAAGCATTTTCCACCACATGTCAAGGAAGAAGAGTGGCCCAGAACCACCCAAGGAATTTAGGCAGGAAAGCATGATAAGAAGGATAGTGGGATATTGTGTTGTCTTCTGGGCCTCAAAGAGGTCTTACTTCCCCCTCAGTTTCCAAAGGGGCCAAGACGAGTGGGTGGAGGGACCTTCATGACACAAAGATGAGTAAGGAATCGTGGGGTGGATGGGGTTTGGGAACAAGCAGAGCTTTCTCTGATTCACATAATATCATAGTCTGATTCATGCCTCCCTGAAGCAGTGCACCTTAGCCCACCTGGAGTCCCTGAGGAGACACCAGAGCCTGCTGCTTCACTACACAGGAGCTTTGCCAAGGTCTGGTAGAGCTGCTGGGTCACTTGGCCATGCTCTCCTTGTTAAAAATAAAACTTTGCAACCTGAATGAAGAGCAGAACATGATCTTAGGCGTTGGAAGAGTGGATGAAGTTAACATTCTGGTTAAAAATGGTGGTCTCTGGAAAAATGATTAGTTAATACATGTGAATGTACAGAGGGGACTGTAATACCTGAGTGCTGACAGCAGTCCTCTGGAGCATCCCGCTGCACTGGGACAAAAGGACTTCCCCCACAGCTGGGCAAAGAGCACCTGGCCAGTGCTGCTGCCCACAGGATTACCTTCTTCTCACTTCCTGCTGCAGTTAGGTGTAAAGGAAGCACCAAGAAATCATTTCAGATGCTGCAGGAGAGGATGAAATCAAGAGCAGTCTCACCATCTCTCAGCTTTGGGGTGGTCGGGCACAAGCTAGGCTAAGACATTTGTCAAGGCAGAAAACTGACTTTTGATTTTTAAGATATTAAAAATATGCCCCTTGGGTTATTTGCATAGTTTGTCCATCTGAGAAAGCAAAGTTCTTCAGGACATGTTTCAGTTTGAGTGCTCTGCCAAGGGCTCAGCCATCTCCTCCCTAACATGAGGGGTATTTGTGCAGAGGAGAAGTTCTCTGGGCACAGAAGGAGCAGGTTGTGAATTCGTAGCTATTGCTGGTTATGCCAACGGCAGAACCCACTTTGGAGCAGAGTTATTTCAATGAACAAGGACTGAGTTCACTGTTCAAGTGTGGCTGATGTTCTGGAGAGTGTGAGAGATCAGCTTGTGCTTATTATGTTCTACCTTGAGCTAAAACTGTTTAACACTTTTCTGAACAATGTGATAAACTCTGGTGTAATCAGAATCAGTCATTTTCTCTCTTTCCCACTATCAAATATTGTCAAAAGCATGAACAGTCCCCCAGTGGGTACTTTTTTCTGGGACTAAGGTATCATAGAATGTAATTTTCTCCTGATTTACAGACTCAAACAGTGTGAAAAATCTAGTGAAAGAAAAAAATACTCAAAATTAACTAATTTGGGAACTCTGAAATTGTGCTCTTGTGACTATTACTTTTCCCAGAACAATGCACTTGGAAGAAAATAAATATAATGGGACTGTATAACCAGACAGCCTAAATCATCAGCTCACATCCACTCAGATAAACTGGTTTAGAATTACATACTTCTGCTTAGAAATTGTTCTCAAGTACAGCAGTTCCTACAAGTTTATTACCTGTAGTTACTTCATCCAAACCGTAAGTTACTTACATTGAGTGGCCTGCCAAATGTAATTCACTTTTTATGTGTTCTCTCCAGATGCTCCAGGTGTAGCTGGTAGAGACAGCTGGAATGGCTTGACCATGAGTGTTCTTAGCTCAGTAGATCTGACAGTTGTTCACCATCAGCTGATAAGCACCTGCTTACCTCCCTTTGAGGCCAGAGACTGGTATTCTTCACATAAGAAGGACTGCCAGAGCCATTTCCCCACTTCTCAGACCACAGTTTCATCCCACAGCCACAAACTTCAAACTTTTTTTTCTATTGACTGTGTGGAACTGCTTTTCCAGAAGCCTTGGTCACCTTCAGCTTCAGGATCCATTTCCATTCCACTTCTCGGTTAGCCTTTTCAAACTGTTTGACAACTTCTTTGTCTGGGCATTATATAGTGATCTAGTAGCAAATCGCAGAGTGCTTTGCCTTGTCTGTACAGTGCTGCAGACCATGCATTGAAATCATGGTATCATAGAATGGTTTGAGTTGGAAGGAACCTTAAAGATTATCTGGTTCCAGTCTTCTGCCATCTCTGTAGAGACACCTTCCACTAACAAAGGTTGCTCAAAGCCTCATCCAGTCTGGCCTTGAACACTGCCAGGGATGGGGCAGCCACAGCTTTTTGGGGCAACCTGTTCCAGTGTCTCACCATGAAATGGTCATTTACCCTCAGCTTTAGTGCTGGCATGAAAGCTGAACTCGACTGGCTGTCTCTCATTAATGGCTCGGGTTCCCCATGGCGCTGCTGTATGTAACTCCTCTTACAGAGAAATTAAAAATGATGTAAAATAACAACAGGGTTCCAGTGGCATAAAATTGTGAAAATCCACTAACTCAACTGGATTCTATTACATTCATCTGTATTGAAAAGTGCAGCTGGACCACCAGTTTAAGGTTATCAATTAAGACTGTGTAAGTTTTTTTGCCAAAGATAAGTCCTTTTATGCCTTCATAAGCAGGAACAGTGACACCATTGTCAGATTTAAGTTGGTAGGCCTTTTGATCTACCAGTAACAGGAATGATAGCGGACACATTTCACCTTCAGGACAGTGGACACATTTCAGACAGTGGTCACATATTGCCCATTTAGATTGGGCAAAGCTAAAATATATACGTATTTTTGGGTGACATGGTTTAGTGTGAGGTGTCCCTGCCCATGGCAGGGGGGTTGGAACCAGGTGATCTTAAGGTCCTTTCCAACCCTAACTGTTCTATGATTCTGTGATTTTATGATCTATTGAAACACTGAAAAAAGTCATAGCTGAATAGGTCTGTGAAAGGCAGGCAAGCAGGTGACTGAAGGCAAGTGTTGGAGTCCAAATACCTGTTATTATTTGCTGGCCTAAAGAGTTGTGTTCCCCCCAGAATGCGGGCTGTTTCAGAATTCAGCACCAGAGTGAGCTTATCTAATCAATAGTTAATATGCTACTAAAGAGAGACGGAAGGAAAACAAGTTAAATGAGCATGAACTGTTCGGTTGAAAAAGGACATGGGCATTATCTGGTTCATTTTCTAAAATCAAAGGAAGCGTCTGTCTTCCATGCCTACCTGAGTTTAATTACTCACCCTTGTTATCTCTCTCTGTGTTCCTGTATTTGATAGAAGTAGAAACTTGGTACCCATCTCCAGCATTCACACTGTTTGTTCCTAGACCAGGTATTCAGGTAAAGATAACACCAGCTAGAATACTGTTTGTCAGGAGTTATTAATTGTCACAGTCAGTGGAGCTAGTAACTTTTCAGTTTGGCTTCCAGTAAATATTTCTGCAGTATGAAAGATTGCTCTGAGGGTACAGGGCATTTTCTGTGGTTTGGTTGGTTTACCGAGGGCTTAGTCATGGAGCTCTATTTGATTTGAATGGAGAGTGCATGATTAAATTCCACTGCTTTGTAAGGTATCCGTTACAAATGCTTGGAAAAACAAGGCTATTATCTCTAAGTGGGTTTCACAAATGGAGATCTGGTCTTCTCCTCAGCTTCACGCTGCAGTTGCATTAATGCAGCCACAGGTTTTAATGAACACGGCTATTCACTCATGAGCCCTTTGCGCAATGACATTGTTGAGTTTCTATTGCAGCAATTTGTGCTGGGAGTGCTGTGAGCGTGCCGGGATCCAGGAATGACTGCATGGATTGCCAACAGTACATATGCCAGTTACAATTTGCCTGTGGTGATCAGTTTTCTATAGCTGCTGTGGGCCTACATACTGCTTTTGGCTCTTCTTGTCTGGTGAAAAGCACTTTGAGATGATTTGAGAGCTAAGGTAGATGTGGAAAAAGTGGAAGTATTACTTTTGTCTGGACCAGCCCTTGGTTTCGATTTGAAAGAAAGGAACCCTTGCCTCCAATTTAGCTGGGCCAGTTGATGGCAGGGCATATCATGCTTTTGCTACCTATTTCTTTCCCGCTTCCTCCCCACCCATGACTGGAACCCTTTCAAGGACCTGGAGTTTGCTTCCATGATCTCCAGTAGCATTCATACCAAAGATCATAACTTTGTATTTTTGTGCAGTGACAGGAGTTTGTTTAAGAGAATGCAAAATATTCGAATACCGAGAAACAGACACAGTAATGTATCCTCCCATCGCATTTGTTACAAATCAGTTGTAGTAGAGCATATTTTGTTTTCAAATTTAGCACAAATGTAACACCTACAACTGGGCTAAAAGGCAAAAGTTTGTGTGAATATGAGGAAAAAACACTAGGATGGCTTCTTTCTAATTCAATCCAAGATCCCATTCAGGGTTTGTACCCACTTGCCAGAGAGGTGTGTGGAGTTAGGCAGTACCTCTGCCTGCATAAGGCTGCCTGCCTCAGAGCTGGGTGTGAAATGCCCATGAGGAGCTGCCAGGGTCTGCTCTTTTCTGTCCTGCATGAGTAAGTGAGCACAAAGGAAGGATGAGTAGGAGACATTCAAGTGGAAGGTAAGCTCAAAACTTTGGCAGCCTGAAGAAGTGAGCTGTGCCCTTTTCAGGGGTGATTTACTGCCTTCCAGGAGCAAGAGGAAAACAGGGAATGAGTGGTGACTTAATGAATTTCAATCAGGTCTCCTCTTAGAGGCTCATAACCTTTGTGCCTTCCTACTTAAAAGGCTCTGTCTCAAGGCACACCCTAGTCCTAAGGAAACTAGAGATGGCAACCTCCTGAGAGCCTGATGATAGCAAAGATGCTCCATCTTCCATTTCCAGTTGTCAATTATTGTATCTGTTTGGTGAGGATAATTAAGTAGGTAGGCATTGGCAATCTGGTAGTTGCCAAATCTGCCTGAGAGGTAGACCCACAAAGAGTCTAACCAGCAGGGCACTCCCAGTGGGACCTATCTGGTCACTTACATTTGCACAGAGAAGTAATGCTGGAGCTGGGCTTGCCATGTGCTGATAAGCAGAGCAGTATGGTTTCTGTAATCCCAGCCAGGCTTCCAGGGAAGTTGCACCAGGGCTGCTCTAGTCAGACCATGGTGGTTCTGGGTCTGCCGGGGGACAGAACCACTGTTTCCTTCCTGTCTTGGAAGTCCATTGAGAGCCTCCGGTTTGGCTTAGGGATCTCAGGTGCCAGCTGAGCAGAGGGGAGCTTAGGTCTTCAGTGTGTACATACAAAAGTCATATTCCGTATGTCTCACCAGTAAAAAGTTAAGAGGAAGGGTTTTTTCCAACTTCTCCGGGAATATTCACCCTTTTATTGGATTGGAGCATAGGAAAATGGAGCCCCAAAGGGACATTACTATGAAGTCTGAAAATGCAGCTTTATGCTTGAAGTCCTATAGTGTATCTCAAATTTGGTAAGGTCTACCACATTTAGAAAGAGTTAACGCTTTGATGAAAAAAAAATTAGTGACGGTTTGGAAAGCATTTGGGGATTTTTTAGCATGACAGATGCTACTGTGTAAGTGTAAGACTATTAGCTCCTTATATACGTGGGTAGCTGTCTTATAAAAAGGTATTTTGACTTACCAAGTTACTGCAATAAAATGGAATGTGCAGACACAATACTTGATTGCCCCCACACGCAAATTTCACCTTTATTAAATTTTATTACAATGAAAATCTTAGCTATGCTTTTCTAGCACAAACATGGCACGTTAAGAATACATGCGACAGCAAGTAAGCCTTTTAGCACATTATTAATCATCAAACCCAAGGATTACTAAGAAACACATTTGCATTTTATCTCTAATTTTCCCTTTTTTTTTCCTTCCTTGCAGGCACAGCTCTCTCAGGCTTTAAATGGTGTTTCAGATAAAGCAAAGGAAGCAAAAGAATTTCTGGTCCAGCTGAAAAATTTATTGCAGCAGATCCAGGTAACTGCAGAATATTAGCTGTTTTGATAATACCGTAATCAATAGAACTGAGTGAATAATTCATTTGATGACTTTGTCTCCTGTGCTATTCTCATATTTCCTGGAATCATCTAAGCTTTCTTGAATGGATTTTCTAGGCAAATTATTCAACAACTAATGCCTGCAAGCCCCTCTTACCTTCTAAATTGTTTGTTGTTTATTGCAAGAAGCTGGTACTCGATACTGGACATTTAAGCTGTGTTGATTAGTATTTGATTGAATCCATCGGTCATGTGTCTGGACTTCTTCCTGACTAAAATTGCTGGAACTGAGCATTTAGGATAAGTTCTCATTTTAACACATTCAAAATTTACTACTTGCTTTCCATCTTTCATTTTCTAAAAAATGTACTAGTTTCTGGACAAAATCCAGTCAACCTGTATATTAGGGTATTTGTAGGAAGTAAAAAACAGAACAAAGAAATGCTGCTAAATCAATGTGGTCATTTACTGAAGTAGAGGTGTTTTCATACCTGTAATTGTCCAGCTTTAATAGTCAGAAAAGGGCTCATGGTGAGTGCAGTAATTGAATGCACAAAACCAAAACGAAACCTGTCCTATTTTCAACCAAATTTAGACTCATCACTGCTGGAGGTCAGATGATCCTCAAGGTCTTTCTTACCCTGCAGAACATGGCTGGGAATGTGCCACCATAGTTTGAGCTATGGGCACAGTGCCCAGGAGAGGACACTTGCTATTCACAGTAGTGGTGCTCTGTGGTGGTGGGTTTTCTGTGGGATATACGTCATCTGCTCTATGACATGCTCGCTCTGCTGCTCACTCATCTTCCATCAACAAACAAGTCTTGTGCCTACTAGTAACAGAAAAAATGAAGTAGAAGTTAAAAAATCTGTATTTCGTTTAGAATTTTATCAATAAAATATTCCACTTAATACCCTTGATGATGAATTTGTATCACAAATGCTGCCCAAGCTCTCAGGTTGCCACAGGGCAGCATAGTTACCCACCCTCACAGTTTTCTGTGGACAAATGGGAAAGGGAACAAACCAAGACTGAGAAATTGGTGGGAAAAAAAGCACATCTAACTGAAAGAAACCGACGTGAAGCCATCAGCTGGTACCTGTCACGTGCTATATTTTGGACACAGTGTAAGGTTTCTCTGTACTGACTTATTTAAAAGTTACATAGCTGATCTAACCTAGTCATTTAGACTTCTTTCTTTGCTGAAGGAGAAAGATGGACATCTTTAGAGAGCAGTTCTTCCTATAGGTATGCACAGCTAATTTAGGATTGAATAGCTCATTCAAAAGGGTAGTCTATCACCAATCTTGTCTTGGGTCATCTAGCTCTGTTAAAAATCTATTTTTCCCTCCTGAGACCTAAAGGTGGTCTATTATGACTGTTTATGACTTTGCTGTAAAATCCTTTAAAGTGTTCCAATAAAATCATTGCCAAATTGCTCTGCATAAGGGAGCTGCTACAATTAGATCAAAAAAGCAAGCCATTTATTTAATGCTGCTGATTGCTAAAAGAGTAGTCAGAAGAGGCAATATCACCCACTGACATTTAGGCATGTCTGGGCACAAAGCTGAATCTGGCCCTCACATGTTGAACCAGACACCATTGCGAGTCTAGTAAGGACATGGAATTTCAGCAGATGGAAACAGCAGGACTAATCAACTGCATATGTATTTCTAAGTAAAACAAGGCTAGGCAGAGCTCTGAAACCATCAGCCACACACTTTAACCCCTGGTGAGCTCCCTGGCATGGTTTTCTCCCATGGCAAATTGCACTCTTCTCAGGTGATGCTCAAGCAGCATTTGGTGATAGCACATACCAGAGAATGCTGCTGGTAGGCAGGTTCGATACAAGCACACTGTTTGAGGGGAAACGGTTAAGACCTGTCCATGAACTAGTTGGTGTCTTCTGGCATCTGGGCCAAAAAACCCAATTCTTGGACAGTTACTTGTGGAGGAATAGGTTTAGCCTTCGTGCATAGATTTATACCCAGAATCACGTATCTCAGAGCAGGTTATTTCTAATAAAAGTCTTACGGTGGTTGCCTAACATTTACCCCTCAGCAAAAATGTCTTTAAAATATATGCTTACACAAAGGAGTAATTTGTACATTTTATTACCCTGTCTCAACACACAGCAGACCAGACAGCCATCTGCACTCTATTTCCTCTCTAGTTTGCCACAGCTACAAGGAGCTGTGCTTCTGTGTTGCTGGGAGCAGTTTGTAAATTCATAATTACTTTTCTTTTCCATGCTTTGTAGACCTGTTGTTTCCCCCTCTTTTTTCCTTCCCTTCTTCTTTCTGAGGTCACTTTTAAATGTTTTGACCTCTTCTTTTCAGAAGCTGCCTGTTCCTCGTTGCTCCTGTTGCTTCCTTGCTCCTTGTTGCTGTTATGATCTGATTTTCACATTTTCCCATCTGCTGTAACAATTTCATCCTTTCTCACTTGAAGAGGCGTATTGCCAAATGTTTGATGTGTGAATAGAAAATGAGGAGAGAAATTATGCACTACAGCCATCAACTAATTTGGGCTCTGTACGCAAACCTGCACTTCAAGGGTAGCTGGATGGAAATGGGCTTAAGGGGGAGTTGAGTGTGATATAAGCCAAGGAGGGAGAGATGCAAACAAGAAGAGTCTAAGACAAACCTGTGAACAGTAACTGAGCTGTCTGGTGCCTCTGCACCCACCCATCTTGCTGGCAGGTCTAGGACTGTGATGGTGACCTGTCAAGGAGGAGCAACCCTACATCCCTCAGCTGGAGAATGGCATGCATGGATTGCAGTGAGGGAGGCGAATGCAGTGCTGATAGGAAAATTAACATCTCCTCTGAAGAGGAGCTTGAAAGCTTTCTCCTTCTGGTCTCACAAGCAGAGGAAGCGAGGGAGAGCCTCCCCAGAATGTGAACTGCAGCATCAGTTCCACGGCCAGAAAAAGGAATCCCTGGGAGGAGGGAAGGCTCAGCACCTTGTAGTACCATCTGGTCAGATTCCTACAGCTGCATGGGATTCTGTGGTAGTATGGTTTGTTCCCGATTGATAGGACAGGGGTTTATGTAGTGATAAGTGATATCCAGCTACTCAAAGCTCAGTGTTGTATACCTCAGATGCTGGCCTCTGCCTAGCAGAGAGTTTGACCACAATATGAATAAAAAACTGCCATGTATTTCCTTTTTTTTTCTTTTTAAAGCTAATGAAATACATGTCTCCACTGCCAAGTGCTGACTATCTTTAAAGAAGTACTTGAAGCAGTACACAAATCTTAGGGCTTTGATTTCCTTGTAATAAACCTGTAGACCAGATTCATAATTCTATTCTAATTGCCATGGTGTAGAACCAGTGATTTCAAAGTTCCTACAGTGGGATAATTAAAACAGAATGGGGCAGAATCTTCTTACGTATATGCATGCACTGTGTACGTTACATTTAGCTTTTGCATTATATTGTACTATGTCTGTTGTCCACGAAGTGCCAGTAAATCAAGTTTTTGAATAAGCCTATTTGTGGCATAGCATCCTCCTGTTTCATTTTATAGCATGCAGCTATTACTGGTACAGCTGTAATGAAATCAGCAAGGCAACAGAAATGCTGAGGTCTTGAAAGGAAATCTTTTCTGAATAGAAAAACAGGTAAGAATGAGCAAAAGCTTAAGATGTGAAATACGCTTTCTCTGATGAGCATAATAACTCTCACTTCCTTCTAGGAGAATGGGTTGGATTATGAAGCCTGCCTTGTTGCTCAGTGTGATGCCTTGGTTGATGCGTTAACGCGACAGAAAGCAAAACTGCTCACAAAGGTGACCAAAGAACGTGAGCACAAGCTGAAGGTGAGCACAAGTCTCACCAGCTGAGCACAGCTGCTGATACCTCTTGTTACTCTGTGTTTTGTCAGGTCCCCAGCCCTTTATACCATGAAAATTCTTAGTGACCAAATCTTAAAGTCCTTTAGCAGGTTCCAGTTCAGCAGTTTAATGGAACATTATAATTTATACACTTAAAATGAGGTGTGTACTTCAGCAGTTCTTTGAATTAGGCCATCAGTCTTTATTTCTTTGATGGTTTGGGGTTATCTTTTGAGAGTGAAACGTGTGTGGTTTGCGTTCAGGGACCTTCTGCCCAAGTAAAATGTTGGGATTTTGGTGTCTCGTTAAATCTTTGAAATTCAGGCAAGCCCCCTCCAGAAATCCACGTGCCACTCAAAAGATATTAAAGGAATGCATTAAAGAGCGGTGGGGAGAAGAAAGCTATAAATGGTTAAACAAAGTGGCAGCCAAGAAATGTTTAAATCAACACATTTCTTGAAATGTTGAACTGCATATGTGACTTTGAGGTATTATAGTGCCAGAAACATCAATGATGTCTAAGACAAAAGGAGAAATTGAAGTGAAATATCTAACATGTCAAACAATGAATGAAATCTACCTGAGATCAGCATTTGAAAACACTCATGCTTAACAAGAACCAACACTTAGGACACACTGATAACGGCACAGCTAATCCTGCAGTTTATTCCTGCCAGGACTTGTGCTGTTGAGTGCAGTGCTATTAGGCCTAGTCTGCAGCCATGTGGCAGCACAATCAGGTCCAATATGTGGAAAAATGAGACGTAGCCTTTTTTATTTCTTAATCCCAGCAATGCGTTCTTAAGCAGAGCAGGATCAATGGTGAATTGTGAAAAGAACAGTAGAGTATAATCTACAAGAAACCACGCCTGCACTTACCCTCTATAATACTTGCCTTGTAAGTAAAGGATTTTTTAAAAGCTCAGATTTCAGTGAAAGTGTGATTGTAAATGTGAATCCTGCAGATGCAGAAACATGTTCTGTGCTCTTTTTGCCCCAAGCAAGCCTGATCTTTGAGCAATTAATCTGCTCTGAAAATCAAGATTCCCTGTGCACATTTTGCCAAGCTAATTATCAGTATTTACAACACAGAACGAGTGAGTGTAGCTGATGGAGACATGGCAATGGCCATATGGCAGCTAAATTAAGCATAGATTTAACACACTCTTCCATTTGCTGTCTCTTCTGAAATAATCTTATACAATTCTCTGTAAGCTGAGGCAGTATCAGAGCTGTACTGATGCTTCTTTTCCAGGTTGTCTGGGACCAGATAAATCACTGTACTCTGAAGCTACGCCAGTCAACGGGGCTTATGGAGTACTGCCTAGAAGTTATCAAAGAAAATGATCCCTCTGGGTTTTTACAGGTATTTTTCTTTCTGATGTTCTGGGGAGGAAAAAGAAAAGACGCTAAAGTTAGATCTAAAAAGAGGATAGCTTTGCTAATTTGCCTCTTCCACAGCTGAGGCAGGTTCACCTTAACTCCTGTTAGTACTGTCTAATAGCTCTGATAGCCTGGTGGCTGCATGAATGTCCCAGCAAAGGGATGGTTTTGAACAGGCGCACTCTGACCGAGGCACAGTTAATGACAGCTTTCTCCAGCATGTTATCTTATTCTCATCTGAGAAACTCAACACAGGGCCTTACAGAGCTCTCTGATCAATTTGGAAAGATCTGTGACTCAGCAAATAGTATTTCTCCCCTTTTCAGTTCTCCCCTTTTCATTACTCTTTCCCATGAGAAAGAGTCCCTTCAACATCTCCCCTGCGTGGAAAGCCCTTAAGGGCTTGCGTGTAGCTTTGCTTTACTGGGTTTGTTTCACCTCACAGGGCAACAAAACCTGTCTTGTAGCTGGAAGATTCACTTACCCCCTCTTTGCAAAATATGGCCTAGCCTATAGCTGTCTTAGTTTGCAGGATATTGTTAGGTGCAAGCAGTGAAACTGTCTATTGATGAGAAAACGTAACAGTTTTACTAATCCAATAAATTATTTTGCCTAATTAATACTTTTGGTTTTATTAATTATTCTGTTTTGCCCCATTAGGTTTGTTGCCTTATTAATTGCCTAAGAAGGAAGGCACATCAGACAAAATGATCTGTGGCTGTCAGCTGAACAGGGCACACTGCATACATGAATGCATGAGTGTTGGGGGCTATCACTGCATCCCTAAAAACCACAATGAGAATTAGCCAACTTAAACCGATTAGCACTCCAGATTGATTGTTACTGTCACGTCTGGTCTCAAGCAAGAGTGAGGAATGTGTGGTGTATATTAATCTCAAGTTTACACAGATTTTAGCAGGCTGTTGGTTGGATACTGCAGGGCAAATGAAACCTTTAGGTCTTATCTACGTACTGACTAGATACATGCTTCTTTTGCACTTCAGCTTATTTTTCCTGTAACCTTTTTGGGTTCATTCTTTGCAGTCACCTTTTATAAAAAAATTTTTACCTTCGCCTGGTTTATCTAATGATGCTTTCAAGGCAACAAGCAAACACTGAGGCACTGCATTACTTAAAGCAACCACTCCTGCAGCCAGCATGTTGAACACAGCTAAGGGATCCCTGTAAGTGACTCCAAGGATGTAAGAATGCTATGAGAAGCTCCTTCACTTATGCAATTAGGAGCTGTTGATGCAGAGGCTCAGACAGGAGTGCCTTCCAGTAACAGTAATAAGAAAACGTATCTGAACTTCTACGATAAACTGTCTCTGACTTAGCCAGAAGAAAATTCTGCTCCCTGTGACTTACACAGAGCTCACTGAGAAGGTCTCCAGATATTCAAATGGCAGCTTCACTGAATTCAAGGACAGTTGAGCTCCTGATTTCCACAGAGCCAGGATTTCACTTCCAGAAGAGTCCATTGCAATCATCTTAGTCTGATGTTTGGCCTAGTTGTCTGTGGGCTTAGCTAGAGTAAAGCTTTAAAAATGAAATTCAGTTTAGATGTAATCATAGAAAACCCATCATATTCTTTGACAACTTAGCACCCTCCCTGTGAAAAATATACGCCTTCCTTCCCGTGTGATTTTTTTAATACCTTTCAGCTTTCATGCACTGAATCACGGGTACTGAGTGCAGAGACCCTCTAACATTTAAGCCTCTCTTTGTGCAACTGTGTTTTAAACAGGAGAGCAAAACTAGACTGTGCAGATCAGAGAACAGAGTGCAGAAGTATATGTGGCATTCAGAGGCATGAAATATAACACAATATTAACAGGCTTTATAAATGTGATTTTTACTTTCCTACCCTAAGATGAGATTTGCTTTGAAAAGATGAGATGAAAGGATGCAACACAAATGGACCTTACACCAAAATAACCAAATCCCATCTCAGCAGTTGTTCTGTGGTATTCCTGCTTTCTTTGTGCTGTATCTCCCAGACATTCTGTCACTTTTAATGTGTGCATCTGCCATTTCATTATAAATAATATAAATACCTAAGCCTGATAACTCTCTTTCAGATTTCAGATGCTTTAATCAAGCGTGTTCAGGTATCTCAGGAACAGTGGGTCAAAGGAGCCTTGGAGCCAAAAGTGTCTGCTGAGTTTGACTTGACTCTGGATAGTGAACCTTTGCTGCAGTCAATTCACCAGCTGGATTTTATTCAGATGAAATGTAGGGGTGAGCTTTTATTGTTTTCTTTTTTCTTGTTTTCATGCATATGTCGAATTGGTGCCGGGAGGGACGGGGCGCCAAGAGAAGAGAAAGGAGTGACTTGAAATTGCTGGGTGGTTGTAAAAGGTTTTCAAGCAAATTCAGGTTACTGGGTGTTTCCTAAAAAGGTGTGCTCACCTCACTGAACAAGCTCATCAGAGATACCAGGTGCCGTTAAAGATTTGAGAATATCTATAAATTCTCCAGAGAAGGGCTGTTTATCAGCTTTGAAGATTAAAAAGACATCAGCTGCATGAAAGCTTATGCCATTCTACAGCATTCTTTCATTTAACACGGTTAATTCAAAATACCAATTACCCCAATCTTGTTAGAAACAGCTGAAGTAGTAAATAAATATTCCCCACACACACATGCTTGAATAGGGAAAAAAAACCCCAACCCTTTGACTTATATCTGGACTGTGCTGTAAACAGTGCCCAGCTTAAAACAAATAATGAGGCAGAGATTCCCAAGGGGAAAGTAACTCCATGGCTAAATCTTTCCTTGATTCCAGGTATCTGAATAATTCCAAGGGGAAAGAAGATTTTCAAAAGCATTTAAAAGCAGAAGCTGATGAACAGTAAATGCCACTGGCAAAGAAAAAAGATACTAACAGCATGCACTTGTAATAAGCTTGGTTTTATATGGAGCAGGATGAGAACTGCATCAGAATTAGATAGATCCATAGACCAGCTAGATTTGAAGACCGTTGTGGTCCCTGGGAATGATGCCATTAGCTTCCCCCAGTGCTGATTCAAGCTTAATTATACATCGGGTGACAGGGTAGAGGCTGCCAGAAGCCAATGAATGAGTTAAGGATAATAGTGTTGTGATGTCGGATTTCCTTTTTTTTTTTTTGACTCCAAGCAAGCATAAAGATTTCTGTTCAGTTTATCTGTTCTCCCTGGGCCTAATTCTGAACCTACGGGACCCAAGATGAAGTAATTAGGGTGGATAATTTGAGAGATGAATATGTGGAGAAACAATGGATAAAGCGTTAAGAGCCAAAGTCTGCTCACAGAGAATGGTTTGCATCTTGGCATAAACAGGCTGTGGTAAAGTTACTCAAAAAACACCTGCAAACGGTTCCTTTGAAATGTTGACAGCCAGGAAAGCAGAGTCAAGAGAAAAAGAGTGTCACTGATGAAACTTCTCCAAATACTGTCTGCACTTGTCTTTTTTATTCAGTTTAGATTTCATGTTGACCATATTAATTGTTCAATATATTTAATACTAATCTTCCACCACTCTCCTTCCCGAAAGTATAAAAATGCAGTTAAACTATCCAGTTAGATTGCTAATTAACCAGAGGCCAGTTGAGGTGAGAGCAGCTTAGGTATTTGGCTTTTGGACATTCATCTGTCTTTAAGCTTGAAGACTTATGAGGCTTTAATTGAGCCAGATTCACTGGAGCTTTATGAAAGATAGTGCTGTTTGCTACACTCTCATTTATCATATGATCACAGTGAAGCTCTGTGACTAAGCTAGACACAATCTGAAGAGCAGAAGAGAGGACAGGACTGCTTGAACACCATTGGGCTTTGCTCCCCAGAGGCACCTTAACAGCCCTCATGAAGGGCTTTTCCTTGATCTATCTTGGCCTTGACCAGGGACCTTGACCATGCCTGTTGCATGTCCCATCCAATTGATCAGCACAACTGGTGTGACCATGTACACACAATGCAAAGTATGGTGGAAATGGCGTTAACCTGGCCACAATTCCTGAAGATGTGTAAGGGATGGCATTATTTCCCCTTGCATCTCTGTGTGCCCAAGCAGAACAAGCCACTAACGCGTCCCAAGCTTACATTCACAGGTATTGAGAATTGTTTAGTCTATAAAGGTGTATTTATATTTTTTTCAGTTTATGTCATTGAATCTATATGCATTTGCACTACTTAGTCTGGAAATTTGGCACTTTTTTTCCTAAATTTTGCCTCTGTGGCCTCAACTAGCCCTGCATTATCTTCTCATGCGTAGTGGTCTTGCATCTAGAAATACAGGTACAGCAGAGAACTCACCATTTCAGCAGTGAGCACCAGACTTACTGGGAGCACCAGTTTGCTGACCGTGAGGAGAAGCTGGTGTTGCAGGTGATGTTTTGCTATTTATTGCCATCAGAATTTGTGTATTTCTTAGCCTCCAATTTTAGAAAGAAAAATCTATGTGTCCCTTCACATATGCCCCTCTTTCTCCAATCCTACCTACCTTAGCACACCAACAGGTCATCAGTCTTTGCCAAATGTTGGGTGTCAAGGGGAGTGATATTAAGTCACTATACTGGTTCATCTGATAAGAGTAAATGAATTAAAGACATACGAGACTATCTGCAAAGGGAGTTTAAGGGAAGCCTAGGAGAATAGGACCAGCATGACCTTTCCATCTGCAAGCTTCTTTGTTCCAAAAGCTTTGCAATATAAGGTCTGTACTATTGTTATCGATGCTTAGTGCATGAGTGAATGTCTCTATTTTTTTCCAAACTCTGGCCTCATTCAACCTCACTGAGCTTGCATGGGTCATTTAGAGTGAAAGCATGCTTGTAAGTAAACATTGATTCACTGTGGTAGACAAAGAAGAATGAAAATGAGAACAAATCACATTGCATTTGCTTTGATGACTTGTTCATGTACCTTACTGGTGGACTCTATAAGCCCTTATCTAAAGCTTATTTCAATAAATAAAGATCTTTTTTTTATAGAAAGAAAAAGCAATCTGGTAACAAATTAAGTGTGCAGAAATATGATTGATGCAGAAGTAACATTTAAGCAGTTATGTTGACCAAGGGGTCTTACTGATAGCCCTTTGGCAAGAGCCTCATGCTCACCAGGGTAGCTGACATGCTGAGACACATACACAGCTCTAGTAATTGCTGGCATTATAAGCTTTCCCAGATCCCTTTCTTCTGTCCAAGTTTTCTCCTCTATATTGCTTTTTCTGAGTGCCTTGGCACAAAATTCCTGTCCTCTTTGATGGCTGGCTGAATGCATATAGCACAGTTCCTCAGTTCAAACTAGGGGCACAGGCAAATACGTGTTCCAGGTTTTTTTTGTTCAAACAGCTGGAACTGTCATTGTCATACAACCTTCTTTTGCTGCAAAACAGAGACTAGGTACAAAGCAGGAAAAAATACAGTTTCTCTCTACTTCTGTATACCACCTCTGAACACTCACTGATATACTACTTCTCCTTGTCAGGAGTGACTCCTTCTGCAAACCAGTCCATGACACATCTCTTGTTGCAGATCTTTGCATTTCCAGCCATGAGCTGCACAGCCCTGACAATGAAAGAGTAACCGTTCCTTTGTAGGCTTTGTCCCTGGTTCTGTTTGCATTGTGTCATGGACACACATCTTTGCCTGTGGTCTTTCCTTCTCTCTCTATAACACTATTTGTAGGGTGCTTCCTACAGCAGTGACTCATGCTATGTGAGGGTTCATATGGCAGTTTTGGAGGAGGTTTTCACGTTTCTGAGGGTCCCATCCTTTCACTGCACTTAGTCCTCTAAAAACTAACCTGGAAAAGTGGAGGGCATCCTTGCACAACTTGCTTGTCAAGAGGACAAACAGCAGACAGCATCTTGGAGCAGCCCTACTCTATCCTGAGAGATCAGCTGTGAGACACATTGAGCAATGTGTTTATGAAACTGCTGAGTTGACATGAGACATCAGTATCACATTTTTTAGCTAAGTGCATGCAGCACTTTTAAATAGCAGGATATCATTCAGACTCATTAATAGATCTTGCTGTGCCAATGCAGCATCATTTGTCCCTTTATATTTTTAATCTTTTCCTTCAAAACCTCTCTAGAGGACCTTTAGTTAAACAAGAAGTGGGACAGCACCGTAATTTAACATCTGAGTCTTCTTTTTTTCCTGACACTTAGCCTGTATTTTTCTTTTCTTAGTCCTGTCCCATTGCCCTTCACTATGAAGTATATGCCAGTGTCCCAGTTATTCAACTCACTTCACACTTTCCTATGACTTTTACAAGTATTCACCTTTTCTTCTCCCAGAGGGAATCTGAGACCAAAGCAAATCTCTGCCCATCTGCATCCAGATGATGAGGCAGAAGGGCAGCCGCAGCAAGTGCCATCCAGCAAAGCTGCACAGCTGCCTGGTGGGAGCTTCTTACCTCTCCTTCAGCTACTGCAGGTTGTGCAGTGCCTGCCCAAGGGCAGTAGGAAGCTGATAAATTTAAATGTCCAGTGACACAGTAAAGAAGCCCAGGAACTTCCCTGTAGTAGGTGTGACTCTCACATGTAGGGCCAAAATTCAAACTGCCCATGGGAGGTGGGAACAACAGTGCTTTACTGTATGAAAACATAGAATCATAGAATCGTTAGGGTTGGAAAGGACCTTAAGATCATCTAGTTCCAACCCCCCTGCTGTGGGCAGGGACACCTTACGCTAAATCATATCACCCAAGGCCTCGTCCAACCTGCTCTTGAACACTGCCAGGGATGGAGCATTCACAACTGCCCTGGGGAACCCATTCCAGTGCCTCACCACCCTAACAGGAAAGAATTTCCTTCTTATATCCAATCTAAACTTCCCCTGTTTAAGTTTTAACCCGTTACCCCTTGTCCTGTCACTACAGTCCGTAATGAAGAGTCCCTCCCCAGCATCCCTATAGGCCCCCTTCAGATACTGGAAGGCTGCTATGAGGTCTCCATGCAGCTCATGTTCATTTTCTCATCGACCAGCACCCCCAAGTCCTTCTCCACAGGGCTGCTCTGAATCTCTTCTCTGCCCAACCTGTAGCTGTGCCTGGGATTGCTCCGACCCAGGTGTAGGACCTTGCACTTGGCATGGTTAAACTTCATGAGGTTGGCATCAGCCCACCTCACAAGTGTGTCAAGGTCCCTCTGGATGGCATTCCTTCCCTCCAGTGCATCAACTGAACCACACAGCTTGGTGTCATCGGCAAACTTGCTGAGGGTGCACTCAATCCCACTGTCCATGTCCTAGATGGCATTCCTGTTTCAGTAAAAAGGGACTCCTAAAACATGTACCTACCCTCCCCAAAAAATTCTGATCCTTTTTTTTTGGCATTGTGCTTTGTGTAAATAGTCCCTGAATGCCTCCAGGTAGTATTTCTAGGAGACTTGCAGGGAGTTGGAGAGGTTAGTGGTTTAGTCAGAGGTGATGGGGTGTTTTGTACTTTATAAACTTTGAGAATTAGGTTCTCATCCAGTTTTGCCAGGGGGAGTCTCAAAACGGGGGAGGACCCAGTGCATGCCTCCTGGGAGGGTTAACTGGTTAGGTAAAGTGGCAGGAGTGTGGATGGAAGATACAGCCCAACCTTCTCCTATGCTCATCAATCACTGGAAATACTGATGCTAACAAACACAGACAAAACCCTAAACTTACAGTGGTTCACTTAAAAAATCCCATTACCTCTGAACTCCTCCTTTTCAGGTTTTCGACTCTTGTCACATTTCTGTTAACTTCTCCAGACACACGGTCTCCTAGAGAAAAGACTGAACTTTCCATGTGGAAAAACAAACAGGTTTTTATTTATGGCACCTTCTGAATCATCATCAAATATGAAGCATAGGAACAAGGTGGTTTTCTTTTTCTCTTTCCACAGAAAAACTTTCAAGGGCTAATTTATAAAGCTATTTTGGCTTAGACCACAGTTATTCTTCTGTGCTACCAACCATCTGCATTCACTGCAGTGATGGATAATGCTAGCAGAAAGCCACGGTAGCTTCTGCACTGTTTATCACGTGTGATGTTGACTTTTGTGTCACTGCCAAAGTGGGGGTGCAGCTTTAGCCCTGTCACACAGCAGCATCCATTTTCCCACAGACTGCTTGCTACACAAAACGCGAACAGTCCTCTTTTATTCAGAGAGGTAAAATAGGACAAAAGGAACAGCTCAAGGGCTTAACTCTCACTCAGACAGAGGGAGGAAAATAAACTAGAAGCTCAAAGCAGAGTAGATAAAAGAAGAGCAAACTGACATTGTTAAGAGCTAAGTCAATGAATGCTCAGAGCACTCACTTCCTTGTAAGACACGGTTGAGCTCTGCAGAAATGATCCTGACTGGTAAAATTCAGCCTTGGGCAGAAGATACGGCAGGGTCTATGCATCACTTACATCCCCACTTAACCTGTGCAGTTTCAGCTGTGTGTAAGATACATCTCCAGAAGACTGGATTTTCACTGTGTAATGGATGTTTTATTGTGGGGTTTTTTTTTTGTTTTAAAGATGCCGGTCTGGTCAATAGTCTCTTGGTGTTTCTCCTAAGAAAGTCATCAAAAAGGGATGTTGGTAGATAACTTTGCACTTGCAGTTTTCTGGGAGCCACAAGCAGTCTCATTTTTCTACCTGAATCAAGGGATTTAGATAAAATTTGCAAATTGGACGATCTTCTTCAACCAGTTTTTTTAAGTACGGCTGCCATAAAGATACCACATCCGAGGTGGTTTTGATTGAAAACTGGGTGAGTGGTATTAAATTAGATTTAAAACAAACAAACAAACAAAACCAAACCCTATTGTGAAGAACTGTTTTCCTGCTGTCTGTGGAATTCAGGCTCTATCTTGCCACTGTGCTTGGAGGTTGGTTTATAACTCTATTTTTCATTAATGAGCTGGGCTTCCTGGCAGCGCTGCAACCCCCATGATGCTCCATGGCCCAAGGCACCCCCTGCCACCATTGCTCCCTCTTTCCTTTGGGGGACAGCAGGAGCAAAGTGCTCTAGGGTGAGAGAAAGCTTTTCCAGCCAGTGACCCCTGGGAGGGGAACCAGACAGGAGATCCCCAGACTATAGTTCTTACGAGGCACCAAAAGCATGTCCAGATATATTTCTGTTTACGTGTTTCAGCCAAATGATTTGTCTAACCAAGTAATGATGTTTTGTTGTATCATTTATACTGCCTTTTGTTTCAAGGAGAACAGACCCTTTTCCTAATGAATATTGACTCTCCTGCAAGGGGAGGGAGGTGAGCTGTTGCCACACTGCTCAAGGCACAGACTGATGGGGAAGGGCAGAGTTACACTAATCTGTACCCAGTTCCTGTTACAGTGCCACCCGTCCCATTACTGCAGCTGGAGAAGTGTTGCACCAGAAACAACAGTGTGACATTGGCCTGGAGGATGCCACCCTTGACCCACAACCCGGTGGAGGGTTATATCTTGGAACTTGATGATGGAGATGGAGGCCAATTCCGAGTGAGGATTTCTTTCAGCATTTGTTTGTGTTTCTTTGTATGTGAGTTTCCCCAGGATATGGATTTGTGTCTGTCTGAGGGTTGGGAGATGGGGTAGGGAAATATGGGTTGTCAAAACGTCCCCACTTCCATCACGTGGATGTAGAAAGCAGTGCAGATGCTGCTTATTAGAAGGACACCAAACTTGGGTGGGAGGTTTGGCTGAGGTTATTATCAGGGCTCTGGCAAAGACAGCCTTGAGGTCCCCCTGGGGTGTACCAGAACAGAAAATCCCATACTAGCCTACAAGACTTGGAAGTGGTGTCTTCCACAAAACAGAGATTTCTTTAAAACCCCTACTCTTGTCTGTCCATTTCAATGGCTGAGATTCTCGGTTCAGAAGTGCAACTCAGTTTTTCCTGATTTTATGAATAAAAATGGGATCCTGCATAAAAATATGGTATTTCTAGATCTTTTCTCTGGGAGTGGATGAGACCAGGCTCGTAGAAGCTTTCCCCAGGTACACCATGATGGTGTTGGTAAGTATGGGATGGCATCCTGAGTGCTCTTCTTCCAGACTGCTTGCTCCTGGCTGCAGCTACAGGATACATATAGGCTCCCATTGCTTTCTCAACATGGCCTAATAAACAAACTACAGAAATAATTCAGTCAACTTTCTGCCAGCCATGTCCTTCTAGAAGCTGTGTCCCTTCCTTCTCAGGCAGGCTTCATGCTCCTGTTGCTCCAGGACCAGGTTGGCCCAGTGCATTCCCTAGGGGCTAGTGCTTTAAAAGCATCTGGAGATTATTGTGGAGTACAGCTGCTCTCTTCACAAATGGGAAATTGTGCCAAAAACATGTGATGGCATTTCTTTGGGAGCTTCTCACTGGAAACCTAAAGGTTTCGCAAGCTGAAAATGGCCTGGCATGGGTCCACTTAAGGAACTGCCTCCTTGTGCCAAACCACTACACCCATAGCCAGCAAAGGCACCTAATAAGAAGAGACAGCGATATTAGCAGGACATTTTGAAGAGGGCACTGTGTTTCTGGCAGGTCTCTTCAGTTCCCTGGTCCAAGTATCGTTTCACATGGGTTTTGAAGAGGCTGGTCTTCACTACTTTAGGTGGGAAAAGGTGCCTTTTTGAATCTAGGGTGACAGCTTCTTAGGGGAAGGCTTTGCTTGCTGTGGTAGATAGACCCTCAGTTTTACCCACTGAACAATAAACTGCAGGCTTCTTAGCAATGCCATTTCAATAAGAGTTTGCTGAACCTTTTCACGAAGGATTATATATCTAAAAGCAATTACACCAACTGCACTTTATCAGTATTTGATGGGTGGATTTAAAGAATGGTTTTTATCTTCCATTGTAGCAGAGAGCATCTGTCTGAATAAATGCAAGATGTGAACAGTGGTAAAAATATAAAATGGATTAGAAAACGTGAGAGTTCTACAAGTACAATTTTTTTTTCACGGAGAGCATCAGTTATAACATCAAAAAATAAATTAAGCTATTCTAAATTAAGCTCTTCTTTTCTCGATGAAAGATTATCAGCTAATTCAGGACCCAAGAGTTTCTGTTCTTTGTAGCAGCCGTCATGATAGCAAAGTGGACAAATACATGACCCACTGTAAGCTAAGCAATCCCTTTCTTATTCATCACATATTTAATTCACTTTAGGTTCATATCAAAGAGCCTCAGTCAAAAGATCTACTCATAGGCATATACTTTAGAGTCTTAACTGAACTGCAGCCTGTGCAGTCTGCATAGTCACAGCCATAAGCTCTTTAGGGCCTTTGCTACCACAAATCTATGGATTTCACAGAAACAGAGAAATTGGAGTTGGAAAGGAATTGTGGCTTTCAACCTGCTGCCAAGACAGGATTTTTTTCCTTTTCTGTTATTTTCTCTTCAGTCTTCCAACAAACTTTATGTTACTGGGCTCTTTCCCTTCCTTATAGACTGAATAATCTGACTGGTCCTCTTCAGTCATTTGCTTAGATGTTCCTCCTCCTGAAATATTTCATATTAGGCAAGTGCTTGCTGTTTAATCTTTGCAGACCTTGATGATGTCTCTGTTGCCTGGTTGCTGTTTCATCATGTCATGCATGTGATCCTAATCTTTAGGAGATCAGTTTCTTCTTGGTCTATGTCTGCAGGTTTCGAATTTGTATTTTAACACAGGCATGAGACAACCTTTCCAACAGAATAAAACTGTGCTTACTTATTCTTCCATGCCCCCCTTTTTGGGTGCTACATAAATATAAGAATGGCCACAGTAAGTCAGATGGTGGGACAACTATCCAAACCAGTGTTCCGGACTAGATATTCAGGAAAGGAAGATAAAAATTAAGATATTTTCGTGTTTCATAGAATCATAGTGGTTTGGGTTGGAACGGACTTTAAAGCTCATTCAGTTCCACCCCTCCTGCCATGAGCAGGAACACATTCCACTAAAACAAGTTGCACAAAGCCATGTCCAACCTGGCCTTAAACACTTCTAGCTTCTCTGGGCAACCTCTGTCAGTGTCTCACCACCCTCACAGTAAAGAAATTCTTCCTAATGTCTAATCTAAATCTTCCCTCTTCCAGTTTAAAGCCATTCCCCCTTCCCTATCACTACATGTCCTTGTAAAAAGTCCCTCTCCAGCTTTCTTGTAGGTCCCCTTTTAGGTACTGGAAGGCTGCTATCAGGTCTCTGCTGAGTCTTCTTTCCTCCAGGCTGAACAAGCCCAACTCTCTCAGCCTGTCCTCATAGGAGAGGTGCTTCAGCCCTCTGATCATCTTCATGGCCCTCCTCATTTCTTTTTATTGCTGTACCCTTCCAGCTTCATCTTCACCTTAGTGTCTCTACTGCTAACTATCCTTGACATCTCCGGTGCTGTGGCTGTATTATAACAGCATAACTTCTACATCCTGGGAAGCAATGAGAAACTGTCCACTTGTGGCTTATATTTAGAAGTCTTAACATATGTTCACAAGGCACAGAGAAACAGTTAAACTATGTCCCTCTTTCTCTCTGTCCCTTTCTTCTTTTCTTTTTTTATTTTTTTTTTGGAATGTTTAGGAAGTATATGTTGGCAAGGAGACTCTCTGCACCATCGATGGCCTTCATTTCAACAGTACCTATAATGCAAGAGTCAAAGCTTTCAATTCATCGGGAGTTGGTCCTTACAGCAAGATGGTTATTTTACAGACGTCAGATGGTGAGTTGGGTTTTGCCAGTTTCTAAGTGAAAAGCTGCAGGTGTCAGTGACAAGACACTTGCATCCCTTTATACCCACTAGTATCTTTGGCACTTACTGGCATGGAGATTTTGGATCATCTGAGCAGAGAGGCCAGGACCTGAGGGTGCAAAGAGACTGAGCTCTCTTCCTAGCAATTTGTTATTTTCCATTATCAGTAACACTTTACTTTTCAAATCATGCAATATTATTTGGCTGTAGGAGTCTGGGGTTTAACTAAGATTCCTATTTGTTTTAGCATACAGAAACAGTTATGGAAGACACGGAATATTTTTATGCCACTCCATCTCCTCTTCTCTATGCATCTTTGGAATTCACCTTTTTCTTCAGTACTCCTTCAATTTCACAGCAGGGTTTGATAATACAGAGATGGGAATTCATGCTTGTTCCTCTGTAATTATACTTGACATCCATGTGGGCATTACAAGAAGTTCATCTTTATTAATGATATCGTAATGAATCGAGAAGTGCATGCTATTATCACTTCCACTTTCATGCTATGTTGCCAAAATAGGCCAGTATAAAATATTTATACTTTAAAAGCATTTTCTGTGGGTTTTTTTTGTTTGGTTTTTGTTTTCTTTTTCTCCCATTGCTAAAGTGAGTCCTAACCAGCATGGACACAGTGGAATTCCATTTCCATTAAAGGCAAGCCTGAACCAATTCATCTATGTGAGCAGTTTCCATACCATAAAGAAGCTTTTGTCTCCTCAACGACTTTCTTGTTACTGTGTCAGAACAGAAAGTCACTGCCCTTGTTCAGAGGAACAAGCACAGATAACATAAAGCAATTCTGAGCTAAAAACCAGCAGGGTAATGGCTCAAAGCAATCTTATGTAGCTGTCTACAGTAACAAGGAAAGATTGTCTTTATTACCTGAAAGTGCAGCAGGGCCTTTAGGAAGGCAGAATCTCATCCTCCTCATTGAAGTGAAGCAGACAACCCTTGAACACAGCCTGTTCTGCCATAATCCTGCCTTTTGTTTTCCCATTTCATAGTGGCATGGTTCACCTTCGACCCCTCCTCAGCTCACAGAGACATAGTGCTGTCGAACGACAACCAGACTGCCACCTGCAACAGCTATGATGACCGGGTTGTTCTTGGCACAGCAGCATTCTCCAAGGGTGTGCATTACTGGGAACTGCATGTGGATAGGTATGACAACCATCCAGATCCAGCCTTTGGCATTGCCAGGATTAACGTTGTCAAGGACATGATGCTAGGCAAGGACGACAAGGCATGGGCTATGTATGTTGACAACAACCGCAGCTGGTTCATGCATTGCAATTCTCACACCAATAGGTAAGTGCCACTTGCATGCTTTTCTCATTCCTCATCATTTTTTTCTTCTTTGCATTAGAGGAAGGGGTCTTAGCAAGCCACGTGGTCCATCTCCATGCTAAATGTAGTCATTTTATTCCTTCTCTAAAATCACTAGTGACAGCAATCGCACTTCAGCAATCTGTGCTGGTGTTTGTTATCCTCACTGTTAGCAGTTCTTTTCCTGAGATCTAGCTTAAATCCCCCCTGCTGTGATTTAAACTCATTATTGCACATCCCACCCATGGCATCAGCAGACAGGAGTGCAGCACTCTGGGATATGGGATTTCTCTCTCATTGCTGGAGGAGTGCAGGGAGAAAGGTGTTGGATTCCACGAAAGATGTTGGAGCAACCTAGGCCAGTGGGAGGTGTCCATGCCCATGGCAGAGGGGTTTGAATTAGATGATCTTTAAGGCCCTTTCTAACCCAAACCATCCTATGATTCAATGATTCTGTGATTCTGTTCCTTAGAAGAAATCTTAGCTTCAGGGTTGCAGAATAATTAGGCAAAACACAGGAGATCTCCTGTCCAAAATGCAGGTGTTTATTGCCAGTCCTGAAAGCTTATTAAGGGCAATGATGGGAGATTGATGTACAAATAAAGTGACTGACCAGGGATACGTAGCAGGTCTGTGGCAGAGAGGAAATCAATTTCGATTTAGTTTCCTATTGCCTGTCCCAGCAAATATTCCACACTCACTAGCTCAGGTGTTGTTTGTTATAGCAAATAATTAAAACAAAGGCTTGCAGTGATTTTCAAATGCTCAAATGCAGGGTATCATCTCCTTAAAGAGGTAAGTTTATGCCCACGTGCACTATATCCTAAAGCTGGTTGTAATATCTCCTGTTGAATGGTCATTTATGCTGTAAAGCAGTTATACTCTAAAGTATTTTAAATAACTATACTGCAATTGCTGTGAATTTTTGTTTGAAGCATAGTTTGATTTTGTAGTTCATTACAGATAGGTGGAGGAACCTTGTAGCTGGATCAAAAACTATCTGCAGTCAATTGGAATGTTTTCAATGACTCCAAAGATCTTAAGATAATACACAATAAAATAACATCAGTATAATAAATATATCAAAAGTTTCTCTGTGGCTTTAATATCTTGATTTGATTTAGGGCAGAAGTAGTGTTAAGCTGTATTAATTTTAATACTCTGCGCAACAGCTTATATTTCCTGGGAAAAAACTGGCAACCATTCTGTGTACTACTGTCCCAGAAGCCTATTTTAAGGATTTGGTCCTCAGCATGCTCCTACCAGTAAGCAACACACGAGCAAAAGCTGGGTTTTTTTCTGGGAAGCACAAATAATGGAAACAGTTTGGATTTCCAATCATCCTCCTAAAACAAGAAAACAAAGTGCTTTCTGTTGATGATAGTTTCCAAGTTAAACATACGATAAAACACAAGGGCTTCACATGCGCATTCAAGGCATGGATAGACCCACGAAATAGCTGTTCAAGTGAAGTACACTCTTACAGGATATGTAGTCTTCTGAAATCATGTGCGCTTCGATGAAATTAGGTCTAGGCATTATATTTTTAACTGTGACAGTCAACTAGGTCAGGTTTTTAACTCATTAGCTTTAATAGTCTTGTGGAAACTTATTTCTGCCTAGTTGTTTTTCCCCACTGGAGACAAGTGCATGAGAGCACAGCATCACGGTCCAAAGGAAATCTATTGTCAGATTTTAGCCTCTCAGATGTTATTGTGATAGAGGTTATGTCTTAGTCATCATTTCATGCTTCCTGATCTTCATAAGAATAAATTAGGGTGATAAATAAATGACTAGCTTCAAGGGTAAGATGAGGTGGAGCTTGAAAGACCTGTTCATGAGACCTGTCATGTTCAGAGTACTTTCCTTTTCCTTTCACTCACAGCATGCAAAATTGGACCTGTCTATATTCTTAAAAACTAGCGTGACTTCTGTAATACTGGAAGAATATGCAGGAACAGAAGACTCTAATGCTATTAAAAACCTTTGAGAACAGGTTGAGCAAAGTGTTTAAGAAAACAGTTTAGGTCTGTTTAGGTACCTTTCAGCCTCATTGTTCCTGCAAATCTGTGCCTTGGAAGATCATGGAACAGATCCTCCTAGAAATTACGCTAAGTCACACAGATGATAGGGACATGATTTGAGACACCCATCATGGCTTCCAGAAAGGGCAAGTCTTGCCTCACCAATGTAGTTGCCTTCTATATTGGAGTGACTGTATTAGTGGACAAGAGAAGAGCTATGTATGTTGCCTGTCTATCTGGACTTCTGTAAGGTCTTTGACACAGTCCCTCACAACATCCTTCTCTCTCAGTTGGAGACACATGGATTTGATGGATAGACTGTTCGATAGATGAAGAATTGGCTGGATGCTCACATCCAGAGGGTAGCAGTCAACAACTCCATGTCCAGATGGATATTAGTGACAAATCGTGTCCCTCAGAGGTCTGTACTGGGACCAGTACTGTTTAACATCTTCATCAATGATATAGACACTGGGATTGAGTGCACTCTCAGCAAGTTTGCTGATGACACCAATCTGAGTGGTGTGGTTGATACGCCTGAGGGATGGGATGGGACACGCCAGAGGGACCTGGACAAGCTTGAGAAGTGGGCCTGTGTGAACCACTTGAAGTTCAGCAAGGCCAAATGTAGGGTCCTGCTCTTGGGTCAGGGCAACCCCTGATATCAACACAGGCTGGGGGATGAAAGGATCAAGAGCAGCCCTGCCAAGAAGGATTTGGGAGTACTGGTGAATGAAGAGCTGGACATGAGCCGGCCTTCACAGAATCACAATCCCAAGGGGTTGGAAGGGACCTCAGAAGATCATCTAGTCCAACCCTCCTGCAAGAGCAGGGTAACCTAGAGTACATCACACAGGAACTTGTCCAGGTGGGCCTTGAATATCTCCAACGTAGGAGACTCCACAACCCCCCTGGGCAGCCTGTTCTAGTGCTCTGTCACTCTCACAGTAAAGAGATTTTTCCTGATGTTCACATGGAACCTCCTATGCTCCAGTTTATACCCATTGCCCCTTGTCCTATCACTGGACATCACTGAAAAAAACCCTAGCTCCACCATCCTGACACTCACCCTTTACACATTTGTAAACATTGATGAGGTCACCCCTCAGTCTCCTCTTCTCCAAGCTAAAGAGTCCCAGCTCCCTCAGCCTCTCCTCGTAAGGGAGTTGTTCCACTCCTTTAATCATCTCTGTAGCTCTGCGCTGGACTCTTTCAAGCAATTCCCTGTCCTTCTTGAACTGTGGGGCCCAGAACTGGACACAATATTCCAGATGCGGCCTCACCAAGGCAGAGTAGAGGGGGAGGAGAACCTCTCTTGACCTATTAACCACCCCCCTTCTAATGCACCCTAGGATGCCATTGGCCTTCTTGGCCACAAGGGCACATTGCTGGCTCATGGTCATCCTCCTATCCACCAGGTCCCTTTCCCCTTCGCTACTGTCCTGCAGGTCAGCCCCCAACCTGTGCTGGTACATGGGGTTGTTCTTCCCCAGATGCAAGACTCTACACTTGCCCTTGTTGAATTTCATCAAGTTCCTCTCCGCCCACCTCTCCAGCCTGTCCAGGTCTCGCTGGATGGCAACACAGCCCTCTGGTGTGTCAGCCACTCCTCCCAGTTTAGTATCATCAGGGAACTTGCTGAGGGTACATTCAGTTCCCTCATCCAGGTCGTTGATGAAAATATTAAACAGCACTGGTCCCAGCACCGACCCCTGAGGGACTCCACTAGTCACAGACCTCCAGATAGATTCTGCCCCATTGACCACAACTCTCTGCCTTCTTCCTTCCGACCAGTTCTTGATCCACCTCACTACCTGATCATAAAGCCCACACTTCCTTAGCTTATCTATGAGGATGCTGTGGGAGACAGTATCAAATGCCTTACTGAAATCAAGAAAAACCACATCTACCGCTCTACCATCATCCATCCACGTAGTTACTTGCTCATAGAAGGCTATAAGGTTGGTCAAACATGACTTCCTCTTGGTAAAGCCATGTTGGCTGCTCTTAATGACCCCCTCATCCTTGATATGTCTAGAGATGGTGTCAAGAATAAGTTGTTCCATCACCTTTCCAGGGATGGAGGTAAGGCTGACCGGTCTGTAATTACCCGGGTCCTCCTTCTTGCCCTTCTTATAGACCGGCCTGACATTTGCCATCCTCCAATCCTCAGGCACCTCTCCTGTTTCCCACGACTTACCAAAGATGATGGAGAGTGGCTCAGCAATGACCTCCGCCAGCTCCCTCGGCACCCGCGGGTGTATTCCATCCGGACCCATCGATTTATAGATGTCCAGATTACTTAACTGATCCCTAACCCAATCCTCATCCACCAAAGCAAACTCCTCCTTTATCCTGACTCCTTCCGGGGCTATAGGAATCTGGGTCCCACGGGGAGAGTCTGCAGGAGTAAGGACAGAGGCAAAGAAGGCATTCAGCACCTCTGCCTTCTTTATATCCTCTGTCTCCAGGGCACCCACCTCATTCAGCAGTGGGCCTATATTGCTTCTTGTGTTAGTTTTATTCGCTATGTATTTGAAGAAGCCCTTTCTATTGTCCTTAACCCGACTTGCAAGATTCTTAACACAACTTGCAACCCGGCCTTGTGCACTTGCAGCCCAGAAGGCCAACTGTATCCTGGGCTGCATCAAAAGAAGCATGACCACAAGGTCAAGGGAGGTGATTCTGCTTCTCTACTCTGGTGAGAGCCCACATGGAGTACTGCATTCAGCTCTGGGGCTCCCAGCATAAGAAGGACATGGAGCTGTTGGAGCAAATCCAGAGGAGGGGCATGAAAATGATCAAAGGGATAGAACACCTTTCCTGTGAAGAAAGGCTGAGAAATTTGGGGTTCTTCAGCCTGGAGAAGAGAAGGCTCTGGGGAGACATTATTGCAGCCTTACAGTACTCAAAGGGGGCTTATAAGAAAGCTGGTGACAAACTTTCTATCAGGGCTTGTTGCAACAGGACAAGGGGTGATGTTTTTAAACTAAAACAGGGTACATTTTCACTAGATATAAGGAAGACATTTTTTACAATGAGGATGGGGAAACACTGGGGAAGAGATTGCCCAGAGAGGTGGTGGATGTGCCATCACTAGAAACTCATGGGCAGGCTGGATGAGGCTCTGAGCAACCTGATTTAGTTCAAGATGTCCCTGCTCATTGAAGGGGAGTTGGACTAGGTGACCGTGAAAGATACCTTCAATCCAAATGATTCTATGAGTCTATGAAGTAATCAGTTCACACCAGAGATGTATGCCTGTTGCTAAGAGGCACTGGCATTCATTGCAATAGATCCCTTCCTTGGCAAAGCTGCCAAGAGCAGGAGTACCTGATGCTGTAGGCGATACTCTAGCCACTACATAGTTATTTAAAGAAAGAGATGGAATGAAATTTCCACTCGCACTGAAATGTTTTATACTGAAAGACAGCGCGAAGTAGAAGTCTGGAGAACTTGGAGTGTAGTCTTAAAGCACTCTGCTATCAGGAGACTCTCTTCACTGACTTCAGAGTTACCAAGGCCAGGTTTTCATCACACAAAAATGTTATAATTGACTAAAAAATACTGTCTTTGACAACAGACATGGTAAAGTTGTTAAGTTACTGTAAGGCTTATGATTAAAACACTGCTAACAAAGAGTTAAGCCAATTGTTCAGTTTGTTAGTGTCCATAAACACTTGTTTATTTTTCAGTACTAGTGAAACTTACTACTATCCTTAACTCCTCAAGCTAATCCATGCCATCCTCTTCTGCATATTGTCCAAGATGTTGCTAGCACCTTAGAGTAACAGCCTCCACTGCCACAGGCAATGGTATTTTTCATGGTAGCCAACCTTCCAGGCATTGCACAGCACTTCCACGCTCAAGATGTATGGCTGCGCACAGAAACAAAAGTGCAGGACTGTGAGAAAAGAGGCGTGGGAAACTTTGACTCTCCCACCTCTCTTCCTAAAGGATGTGACTGTGACTGTAGTCCAAAAAGCACTGGAGTCCTCAAAGTACTGTTCCCAAGGAAACCATGGGATGCTCGGGAAGAGCAGCTGTTCAGCCTCAGGAAAAAACCCAGCCTCTTTGGCAGCAGTATGGCAAAGTGCCCCGGGTTGCCTTTGCCCCGACTTCATCCTGACAGAGCTGGTTGCTCACTGTGGGAGTTGGCAACCAAGTAACAGGCAATCTCCCTGCTGAAGGGCTGCAAGACTTGTGGCAGCAAGGAAGGGAGAGGGTCCCCATGCCTCTTCTCTGCCCCCAGTGCCCTGTGGCTTCTGCAGCTGGGTCCTGCCCTAGCCTTGCCCGGGCTCTGCAGGCAGCATCCATCTCCTGTGCAGTGGGCTGTCCCCAGGGGCTGCAGAGGAGTCATTCAATGTCACTGTGCAGCACACAGCTAATTAGCCCACAAGAAGCAAATTAGTTTATCATATAGGAAAGAGCATAATAATCTCAAAAAGGCAAAGTTGCTATTCCTGTTTCCCTAAGAGAATCAATGATGTCACTTAAAAGGATGTCGTAAAATCTATTTTAAAACACTGCAGGATATAACACATGGTGCCCTACAATCAAAGCTGTTCCTAAACAGAGAAAAATAAATCTCTGTGTAAATAGCTCTAGATCATAGTACTGTTGCTTCCCACAACCTCATCAAGAGTTTTATGATGGAGTGCTTTTAACAGAAACAGTCTAGATACTGAGATACTGAGAGCAGGTAAACACCTTAACTACTGATGGAAAATAATTTACATTATGGTTTTGTAGAAGAGCTGGAAGAGGACCCTATTAATACATATAGGATCAGAAAACAAATAAAGGGAACCTGAGAACAGTAAAGCTTGACATCTAATGCATCTCAGAGACAGCTCATGATTCTCAGCTATCCTATTATTGTTTGAAGCGCTTTAAATGGGGAAGTCAGAATAGTATAATGGTATGCTATACTATTATATCACAGACAAAACTGCCTTTATCTTCGGAGGAAATGCCATGTGCCACATTTGGTCCAAAGGAAACCAGTCTATGACACCTAGTGGACAAGATGAGAATTTCTTACCCTGCACTCTTGCACTACATTCTTCCTAATCCTATTTTGATCTCCCCGCTCGTTTTTCCGTTTCGTTGGGTTGTTTTTGTTGGGATTTTTGTTTGGTTTGTTTGGGGTTTTTGTTTGGTGTTTGGTTTTGTTTGGGTTTTTTGTTGTTGTTTGGAGGTTTTTTATGTTTTGCCTACCTATTATGATAAATGCTATGTTAAAATTGCATTACTCTTATGAATCTTTGTGCCTGATGGGAGGACAAAAGACAGCTGCTTCCTTTCCTACTGCAAATTGTTTGAGATCTGATTTACCCTGAACAAATTGTGTCAGGCTGTAAATCCATCACAGAGCCCCCATGATATTAGCAGAGCAGCAGTGCCTGTGGCCAATCTTCATATCTAGTAGATTTTTTTGCTAAGCACTCTCTAAAGTAATACTGGGTTTGACTGACCCCCAAATCAAAGTGCATTAATGTCAAGTCACTCAAGCGTGTAATGGCTGGCTGAGTCTGTCCTGGCAAGCCCTGATAGCACAGTATCTCTCAGCAGTTGCTCCTGACACAACCAATTACCACTGGTGTTAATAACCATGCCTGCACACTTGAAGCAGCTCCCAGGCCTATAGCTGAGCAACTTCTCAGAGAGTTACATTTCTCCTTAACTAGCTCCACATTCCCTGTCTCCCTAAAACCACTGTAAGTTTTGCCTGTGCTGGCTCACTGATCTCTGCAAAGCTGAGTCCTCTTGGGGAATGCCAAAGTGGGTACTTGAACTGCAGCTGTTATCAGGGATAATGATTAGAAATTAACACCTAGAAAACCAGCTTTGTGTGTTTTCATTCTCTTCTGTGCATCACTCACTATAGCAGGGATGCTCTGAGAAGCCATGTCTCCAGGACTCCTGTTCCACATGCCTAAAACTGACCCGCTCCTCTCCCCATCTGTTATCAGATGTGGGAACCTGTTAGCTCTGGACCCAATTTGCAGCTTACAGATTGCAGCGGGAGGAGAGGTGGACCTAATTTCTCTTTAGGATCCCCCCGTTAAGCTCCCATGAACGTTGCATATATGTTTCATATGAAGGTGTAGATCAGTCCTTGCCAAATACTGAGGGACAACCACTTAACCATACTGCTCCACTCTCCCTTTCCTTAGTAAGACTGCATCATCCTAGAGAGAGAGCAGCAGCAGTGTAACACTCTGCCTTCGCTAACAGCGTGGTCCCCTTTTACCTTAGGACTGAAGGAGGAGTTTCTAAAGGTGCCACTGTTGGTGTTCTCCTGGATCTGAACAAGCACAACCTGACCTTTTACATAAATGGGCAGCAGCAAGGGCCTCCAGCGTTTGAAAACATTGAAGGTGTCTTCATGCCTGCACTGAGCCTCAATCGAAACGTCCAGGTAAATCTTCTGCAATTCAGTCCCACTTACCCTTCTCAGCTAAAGGAGAATGTATGCTACCAGCCATTGCTGCTGAGGCTGACCATGTCCTCTGTAGGCAGTCAATATGGGTGGGGGCTCTTCCCTTCTCAGACCGACACCCAGGCTACTCATGCTTTTTGGAAAACTGCATTTGACCTGCCTTGTCTGGCAGCTGTGAGGAGTAATGCTGTAAAAAAACAAGTCAAAGTGCCTGCACACATTAATCCCTACACTTTGCTGCAGTGCTCCACTTGGAAAGCAGTAGTGCTAAGGCTTCCTCTGCCAGTTTGGATAAAAGCTGTAAGTACCCTCATTCCTCTTAGATCTTATATTTGGAGATCATTAACATTGTCAAGAGGCAGAAATGTGTGCAGCACAGCAGCGATGAAAGCAAAGACAAGACGGGTCAGAATATTAGTACAACAGAGAGGATTCAGTACATCATTCCTACTCATTCTGAACTTTGGAGATTGGTCTCTGTTCATAAGATGATCTCCTCCTGGAAGAGTCCTCTTTAAATAAAATGCATTTTTACTTGAAGACCACTGCATATGGCTAGAAATAGGATGTAGTGTAACGGAGAACCTATGGAAACACCCTGAAGCCTGAGGATTGAGGGAGGTCAGCTTAAGTCTGGAAGGTCCAATGCAGCCAGGGTGGAACACTCATCATTTTAAACACCCAAACTGAAAACAGAAACCTTATGTGGCCTTATTAATACATGAGCATTTAGCGTTCATTACTGGTGGCATCCAAAACTTTCAAGAGGCTGCCATAGCTTTATTGTATTTGATGAACCAATGTGGAAGATGTGGGCACTTCTTGGGGCACCTCACTGCCATATTTAACAAAGATTTTTTACTCACAACCTACCTTCGGTTTTAGCTACCTACATCCTTTAAGTGCCTGGCTTTCATTTCTTACCACAACAGAGTTAAGGCTGAGAGTGGCCAACAAAGGGGCAGGGGGAACTCTGAAACTAAGCTTGTTTTTGTCTTTGAATGGTGCTCTGGTATGTCTGTGTGGGAACTCTGATCTTGTAGAGACATCAGGTTATAGAAGGAGTACACAAACGTCCTGGGCTCTGTCCTACCAAGACAGCAAAGATAAAAGGATATCCTTATATTTAGTACATGGGCTCCACTGTGTGATCCCTGTCCTGAAGTGTTCAGGGGTCCCTCACGCAAAGACTCCATCCACCTTGTGGCATGCAAGCAGCACTGCTGGAGACCTACAGGTGGTGTCTGGATTTTGGAAGAGATACGGACACCTGGCTTCTAGCCCCCAAGGTGTTAAGAAGGGAAGGGGGAAGGAGACTTGTTTATTTCAGGAGCTCAGTATTATCCCCATGAATATTACTGATGACTTAAACCTGGACCTGAAATCCCACAGCCCTTCCCCTGTCATTTACTTGCTCGTAGCCTTCACAAATGCGTTCTGCCGAGGATGTCCCAGTTTTGAATGTACATGTTGTTTCTTCTTTGTCCAGGTGACCCTACACACAGGACTGGAAGTACCACAATGTGTGAAACAGCCCAAGCAGCCCAACAATTAATGAAATCCCTGCCTGACCTTGACCTGGATTCTGTAAGCTTTCTCAGTGTGATTTGGCACTTTTTAGTAAGTCAGTAAAAAAAGCATTCTCTTCCCTGACTTAAAATACTGTATAGCATGTTGCTCACTGAATAACCCACTGATTACAGCTAGCCCACTCCATTTTTAATTTAACAGCCATAGCAAGCGTACCCACTGAACTGGCACTCAATTGCAGATGGGTACCTGAACATATCTACACTGCATTGCATACATATGTACACATATGTGCACACACACACGTGCATTACAAAGCAAAAGGTTAAATAGGTGTATTTCCTCTCTTATGGCTGTATTTGTGCTTAAAAGATATTAGAGATGCTGGAAAAAAGACTAACCTGAGGGTTGATGGCTGTTGGAGCAATATGCCAGTAGGTGAACTGGATTCCCTTGCCACCTGAAGTCCTTAAATCAAGAAAGAATATGTTTTGACAGCTGAAGTGGAGGTTGTGTGCTCAAGAATTCCTGGTTGTTCATTACATTCAGGGGCTCAGATGACCATTAATTATTCCTTCTGCCTCTAGACTGCAGTTAGCCATGGGATAACATCCCCCTATGATTCAGTGGCAGAACTTATCTCATTGTCTTCAACAAGAGTAAGCTTGGTTTCCAAACACTGCCATGTAATAGTAGTGCTCATTTTAGCTAACACCATGATACATGCAGAATTCAGACACAAAAAGTAGAGAGAAAAATATCCTTGATGCATTTTAGTGTTTGATATTTAGGTGTGATAGTGGAGACTATCACATACAGACGCTCTCATCATGGTTATAAGCACAACTCTCAAAAAACATTGCAGGGTCTTTCAATTGAATTGATAAGAGATGTACTTTAATACAGCATGTGCAAGGTGTCCCATGTAGAGAAATGCTACTTTCTAGCCTTGATAAGCCCTGGGCAACTGTAGTTCTAATGTAGCTTTGAGATCACAAGCCTTAATTTTCTATTAGATTAGTGCGAGCTAATTAATATCTTGCTTAATGAAGCACTTGAGTGAGACAGATTCACAGCATTATTGTGAAATGTGTCCCTAAGAATTTTTTTTGCACTGGGGCGTAAATCTTTTGCAAAACTTGCCTGTGTCTGGATCTCCCATGAAAACAAGCAGCCGTTTTTGGTGCTGCCCATGAAAACTGGAGGCTGACTGACAGGAACATTTCCCCCAGCCATGGCATTGTTACCTGCGTGCTGTTGTCAGATAACACACTGATTGTGTGTGTGCTTTTCCTCTAAACCCAGCTAACATATGTAAGCAAAGGAGGAGGGAAGCAGCCCAGAATGAAACAGTCCCAGCCTATTGCACAGGCAAAAAGCAGTCTGCCATCGTGCTGCATGTAGCTAACCAAGCATCCTGTAGCCCACCTCTCCTGCAGAAAGCAGTGTACCTTCAGTGATGTCAAGACTGAAAGAGGAAATATACCCATGATGGGAAAAAATAACATAAGCTTTTAAGTGGGAAAGAAACGGTACTTTCTTCAAAGTCTGGAACAGATTGTATTGGTAAACTTGTAGACATTGGAATAACTGTGCTGGGCTCATCTTGGTTTCTTGAAGAATAGCAGAGATTGACTGTGTTGTGATGTTCAGTTTTGTTTAGTACCATATGAACTTGTGCAGGATTTTCTGATTAGTGGGTCTGTTTTAACCTACCTCAGCTAGAACGCTACCAGACCCTGAATTTCCTCGTGTGCTCGTCTATGAACATAAAAGTTGTAATCATAGCATTGGCTTTGAGTATTGTAAGTCAGAGCGGTATATGGGAATACTGTACATAACTTGCACATAGATTTTTATATTGGGAAACATCCCATGATAATTTTAATGCAAATGGCACTCCACTTTCACTGGTATTAAAACCAAAAAGGCACTGTTAGGTTTGGGACAGAACCTGTGTCTTTACTCCCAACTTCTGTGAAGAAAACTCAAATGAATCTTTCCAATATTCAACCATTGCCAGATGTTTAAAATTAATTCTGAATGGGTTTCAGAAATATTTGCAGTACTTGGTTTTGGTTTTCATAGTTGCTTTGGTGCCAGTTCCTGGTATGTTATACCTTGGGGAGAACACAGTGAGTGATACAGGTTACTAATTCCTAGTGGAAGTATGGACAGCAAGGAGAGACATGTTTCAGAGCTGTGGAGAAGCTCATTTGTTACCCTGTACATGTTTATAAAAGTAGGGTGCAGACTAGCTACCATGAGTCTTCTTTGAACCTAGGAGAAATGCACTTAAAATAAAAGGAGTGCATTTAGAAGTAGGTAACCTGCATTAGTAAGAATAATTTAGCCCAAGTCAAAAACTAAACAAAGTGGTTTTATGTGTTAGTTGTGTGCACATTCAAGGACTTGGGTTTGACGTGGCTCATAGCAATAAGCTAATTACCCCAATAGAGCGTAGTCTCATGACTTCAGCTGGATGCATTTTGACAGTTTGATTAAAAGAAATAATGTTCAAGTAGTTAGAATTACGCTAGGAAACTAATGACTCCACACATGAATATGTATGCAGAGCATCCAGATGGTGTTGGCCATCTGAACATAAGCAGAGTAGAATTTTCTTTTTGTGGAACAGCATCTAGTGGAAGAACTGGTGCACTCCCTCCTGTGCTCAGGTTGGAGGTAGTTTGCTTCTCTGCAGGTAACTTCCCAGAGGTGTCTCTCCTTATAAACCCAGCAGTTTGCATGCTCTTCATCTACAGCATCTCTTGTGCCAATTTTTGTTTCCTCCAAATCCCTTCTTTAGGAGGGACTCGGCCTTTCACACCATGGTCCTTGCAGGAACTGTGTTGCTGACTGTCCAGGGAGAACCCAGGGGCCTGAAGAGTGGCATAGATCCCCAGGGGGAGCACTTTGGATGTTCTTGCTTGCTTTTGATTCTTTGGGGTATTTGTGCAGCTCTTTGGGACTCCAAGATCTTCTGTCACCTTGTCCTGCACAGAGCTGCCTTTCATGGGACTTCTGCTCCTAAAGGCCAGGCTGTTCCTGAGAAGCCGGAGAGCAGAGCCTTTTGCACTGCAGTGATTCCCAACAACTATGGTACAAAGCCCACATAAGGTAGCTGTAAATTGACTTAATGTTTAAAAGCAAAAAACCCAAACCACAAACAAAAAAATCCTTTTCTAATAAACATAATATTTGACTTCTGCATACACCAATCTGGAACCCCTGCAGAGCTGCTAAATAAATACAGCAGGCAAACTCTCTGTCTGGCAAAGCAACAAGGGACTCTTAGTTTTTATCGACCCCCTGATCCCCAATCAGGGGATCAGAGCCTTCATGAACCTTCTTCCTGGCTCTTTCTGCTGCCAATTTCTCTGCTAATTTTAGTGGGAACAATCAGAAGATACGTGCCACAGGAGCACTGTCAGATTTCCCAAGGTGTGCAATCCTACACTACTTCTGCTCCCTTCTTTTCCCTCGTCAACTCAGAAAGAGCTCACAAGATGATCTCTTACTACAAGACTTGACGTAAATATGAGCACAAGCCTAGCTGACAGTCCCTTACTACTGCTGTGGAAAGGTATGCGCTGTAAAACAGATGTCAGTGAGGAGAGTACCACACTGTGATGTATCATGAATTTGGAAAGCAATTTGGCTTCTAAAAACAGAAAAAGCAGGCAAACAGCATTGTGACCTCTTATACTTGCCTATTCAGCTAAGATACCTAAGGGAAAATATATAGGACTAAAAAAAAAACAAACCCCAAACCCCCAAACAAAGACGTAAGCTTATGTAGATCAGTTTAAGAGGAAAAGTATTAAATGTAATTTATTATATGCATAATGTTCCATAATGTTCCATCATGTTGTAAATAATGCTATGATAGTGTATTGCCGTAGTTTGTTCTTGGCTGGTGATAGAGTTCTGTCATAGTGCTGTGTTTTATATATATATTTTCTTTCCCCCACCCGAAGTCTAGTTAGTAAGGATGCCAGAGAGCACCCGATACTCTGGTTTCTGAGTTGTTCTAGAGCAAGGAGAAATGTGAGATGCAGCTTTTTGTTTCCTTACATAATAATATTTCTTAAATGAGGTAAGAGAGAGATGAGATCAAGGCTAAGCTGCCACTACTACCGTATGAAAAACATTCTGATTGCAACTGCCAACAAGAGGTGATGCATTTCTGGACCAAAATTCCAATTACTCCTGTGAGAAGGGGTGCAAAGTACCAACAATCTGGCAGCTTTCTGGTGCCATCTAGTACATTCTTTGCTCACAAACGGGAAGATGAGGAAAGAGAGTCATTAGACCTAATTAGACCAGCTTTGCAGCATTCTGCTTCAATAGCAAAGTCAGGGATTCAACTTTGAACCAGGCAAGATAATATGAAAACCCCAAGCATCTTGGCTAGATCAGCTTTGGAAGGGAGATTACAGTTTCAAGTCCAACAGGTTATGGTAACAAGTCAACCACACTGCAGGTGTTAAGGGCACTTGTCACTGAGAATTACCAAGCAAAGATGGAGAGTCTTTCTTTTTTTTTTTTCTAATGAACAAATGAGCTGCTTCTGGTTTTTACTGACAACATTTCTGGTGGTTCCCCTGCCCAGCACTATTGAACACTGCACACACACACACACAGCTGGCTGGAGTAACAGCCTGAAGCACAAATCCATTATAACTAAGACACACTTGGTCTTCTTACATGCAGAAGCCCATATGCAAGCCACAGAGACTCGATGCGTGGGGCTTCCGCGTCTTTGCACAATAGAGGGGGTAAGTGTGTGTTTTACTGACAGAGGCACTCAGCAGCATTTCCCCCTTCTGGTAAAAGTGACCTTTTTGTTACATTTGTTACTGCAGACTGATCCAAGCAGAATTCATTACAGAATTATTCTTAATGCTAATTGGAGATTTCTGACATTTTCCTATGAAACAGTAGATAGAAATATTCCTGGATCCTGATTGCGTTCCTTCATCCTTCAGCTCCCTTAAATGTTGTCAATAAAACCACTAACTTTTCTAGGTAGCATGGTGAGAAGAATTATGTGATGAATATTAAAAATAAATGCATGAGGTAAACCTGCTGTTATTTCTGATTGTTACATGAAGCATGAATAACACTAATTTAAATGTTGGCAACCAAAAATGCGCAAAGGAATAAGATAACGGTGTTTACTTCTGGTTAAACGAAAGATGAGAAGTTGTTCCTGTGTTTTAACCACAACATTTCTTTCTTTATCATTTCCCATTGCTTATATGAATTTGGAGCTGGTGAAATATACATCTCTGCTGTATGTGTCTGTCACCAGATCAAGAGGAAAATACAAACTTTTTATAATTTTGTACCTGCAGCAAACGTTTGTATTTTTTGAATTAGAAACAAACTGCTTTTTGTCTTTTGGTCCAACTAAAACTTTGTGTACTGTTATTATTATTATTACCCTTTTGGAAAACCTGACCTATGAGTTTATGCTGTTTTACAGTTTCTAAATAAATTCTTATAACATTGCCAACAAATTCAGCATCAATACCCTTTTTATTATTACAAAATTACTATAAAAGAATATTACGTCGTAATGTAGATGGAGCATTTCTGTGGGATTGTCCTGGGTTCAGCAGTAGCAGTCATTTTTCTCCTTCTTAGTAGCTGGTGCAGCGCTGTGTTTTGACTTTCGGCCTGGGAACAGTGCTGATAACACCGATGTTTACTTTGACCAAGGACTTTGTGAGCCTCATGCTCTGCCAGGGAGGAGGGGAGGCCAGGAGGAAACAGGGACAGGACACCTGACCCAAACTGACCAGAGAGGTATTCCATACCACAGCACGTCATGCCCAGGAGGTAACTGGGAGTTACCCGAAAGGGCATGCTCTGCTCGGTCAAGCTCAGTCGGTGGGTGGTATCGTATTCTCTCCCCTTGTTACTTCCCTTACCATCATTATCATTGGTGGTAGCAGTGGCGGCAGCAGTGATCTGTGTTACACCTTACTTACTGGACTGCTCTTATGTCAGCCCGTGGGAGTTGCATTCTTTCGATTCTCCTCCCCATCCCTCCGGGAGCCTGGGGGGAGGGGGTGTGGGGTGGTTGGAGAGTGGGAAGGGAAGAAAGGGGGAGGGGAGTAGAAACTCCACGGCTGACTTGCTGACAGGGCTTAAACCACGACAAGGCTGCAAACATAACTCCTGTTGATACCTGCTTTGCTACCACAGTCAAAAATAACCCGGTACTTGGAGAAAGCCAAGAGTGCTCCCTCTGAGCAACCATCTGTGCCTCAGCTTCAGACACATGGAACACCTCTCTTCCTCAGGACCACTCCATTAAATCTGGCTCATGTCGGTTATAGCATACCTGGGGATGTTATTTAGCTCCAACCCATCTTAGGCACTTCAGGTGATTTCCCAGTCTCCAGAAGTTTCTGATGCTGGAGTAAGCAGAGACTGGAAATAACTGTGACTGATTGGAAAGGCCTTCGGATGAATGTAAAAGTCAGAGTGGACAGAAAGCTTGTCAGGGCAGGAAAGAGAAAACTTTGTGAGATAATTTAACAAGACATTCCATCTTGGAGCTGCAGGCCTCTGTTAAGCAGATAGATGCCTCGTGAGGTACTGAGCAATGCTAGACGCAGCACACTCCCCTTTGCAAAAGGCACTCATCAGAGCTTTGCAACCTTCATAAATGTCTGTTAATAAAGCAGAATAAAACATGCCAACGCACTAACAGCAGCACCAGGTAAGAAACAGAAACCTGGCCGAAACCGTCAGGAGTAAGTACAGACAAGAATGAGGAGACACCATCCATCATGGCCTTTTTTTTTTCTGTCTTCCTACGAGAGACAGCAATTTGGTGTCAACTCCTTCATGGCAAAGGGTTTGACTGTGAGGAAAGATAATCAGAATGATTTTAGAATATGGGGAAACAGGAATAAAACTGTCACAGGAAAAGGCATGTGAAAGACACCAGATATTCTTCCTTTATCCCCCATTCCTCTATTCAGCTCAGATAGAGGGCAAAATAAGATGGTCCCTGCTCTCCCTCACCCGAAATCAGTTACTCTGTCAACACTGGCTTTAATTTATTAGTACATGCTCCAAAAGCAAGACAGCTTGCTGCCTGAACATGCATTTCATACCCTGTTAATTAATAACACACACCAGTCCAAAGAAAGAGGAGGTGCACAACAGCTTCTCAGCAGTTTTTTGCCAAATGTCTACTGTCCTTGTTTTTGTTAATCCATCTAGTAACAAAACAGGTCTGCTGGTACCAAGTTTACCTGAGCACTCTGGGGACTTGATATAAAAACCCCCAACCTATCACCCTGTAAGAGAAACCTTTCATATGTTAAATGAGTGAGAAAATACAAAGTTTGAATAAGCTTTTATTTCCCCCTCTCCCCCAAGCTTCCATGTCCCACTGCCAGCTCTGCATTGCAGTTTTCAACCTTTTATTATAAGAACTGATGTTTTTTCAACTGTTCTTTAACACAGTTTAAAAGCTTGAGACTGCAAAAATGGGACACTTCCTTCTGACCAAGTTTCACACTTAAATAGCCTCTGGGAGCTGTCGATGTGGAAAGTGAATCCTTTAAGTTACCAAAGCTGATTGAGGACATAAACTCCCACAGCATGTTATGTCCAAAGCCAGCTGAACAAAACTTTATCTAGAAGCAAGCAGTGAAAACACAAGCTCAAGGATTAACCAGGGATTAAAAAATACAGGTTATCCCACAACATCCAAAGCCCATCTGTTGCCTCAACAGGTCTTGATTGTACTCAATTCTACTTAGTGATTACACCTTCACACGCAATTATGATTTAGTGTTTCTCTAAGCTGGTAACCGGATAGGACTGTTAATTCTGGTTTGAATCTGCAACCAGTAATAAATCAAATTATGCAATTATGAAACGTGATAACAGTATTTAGCAACCAAACTCTGCACAGCCCTCTTCCCATATGGCTCCAGAAACACTCCCTTCCATTTTTCACCCAGCTGTTATTCTCCCTGGGCTGTCTCCCTCCTCTTAATCCTCTCTGTACTGGCAAGGCACTTCTCAGGATCTGAAAGTAAGGTAGAAGGTGTGCAGGAAGGAGTGTACCAGAAAACATCCCTTTCTGTGGTGTGGCTCTCCCTACCCCAGAATACATCCCTATCCTGTGAAGGGGGCAGCCTCCAATACTGTTGTTGGGGGAGAGGGCCATGCTGCTGTTCTTGCTGCAAGCTAGCACAGACCTTGCTGCTCGCACAGGGTTAGAGTCTATCTTACTCGGGCTCCCAGGTGGCAGTCAGGAAGCATCCCTTGCTTCCGCAGACTGCAGGGTACACCAAAATTCACCAATGTACCTAGAAGATGTTTCTCCAGTAAGGGTTGTTTCCCTTCTCATATACACCTGCTTCAGAGTGCTGGAGCACCTCTCCTATGAGGACAGGCTGAAAGTTGGGTTTGTTCAGCCTGGAGAAGGCCCAGGGGAGACCTTACAGCAGCCTTACAGTACCTAGAGGAGGTCTACAAGAAACCTGGAGAGGGATGTTTTACAAGGGCATGGAGTGATAGAGCAAGGGATAATTGCTTTAAACTGGAAGAAGATAGATTTACATTAGATACTAGAAAGAAATTCTTTACTATGAGGGTGGTTAAGAGGACATTTTGGAAGGCTACTAACCACTGCCATTTCTAATGGAAACATGACATTGAAAACAAAGAAACAAAAAATAGCTACTGAGGACAAAATAGTTCTTTCAGAAATACCACATCTGAAATCCAAACTTGAGTTTTGACAAAGATTTCATAGAAAAGCCTTACGAGGCATGGGAACACTGATCAAAACAAACATGAGCCAAGCATGAACAACCAGAAACTATCAAGTGTCTATGCCTCATTTGGTTCAGTCTTGCATGATCTCATTTTCAAAACCAAACCAACCAAGCCACCACACCACCATTTGAAACAGTGCTTATTTAGAGATCTCTGCAGAGATGTACAAGTTGAGTCTGGAACTCTACCTGGGACAAAACTTCAGAAAAAAATATCTCATTTTAATTCTAAAGCAGAAAATTTGGAAACCGTAAGAGGTTTTGCTGGACAAGAAGAATGTTGAGCAGTTCCACTATTCACTAACAATCTGTAAAGATACAGACACAGATACATGCCTGATAAATGCTTGACAATACCCACTTGAGGTTCAGAGCAAGTAAGGTATTGATTTTTTTCATACTTTTTTCCAGAAGAAAGCAAAGAGCTATATATTTCATTAATTACTGGATGAATATTTTACTTACAGTCTATACAGCGATTCTAGAAAGTGAAATTCTTTCTTTAGCATGTATTGACTAATAAAAATAGTCTGTGTTACATTCTTAATAAAGTCTTATTTTTATTTATAAAATGGTGCATTCTCATATTCTTCCCAAGGCAGAATGGAATATAGAAAACCCTGCAACAACAAATAAGGTAAAAAATAGTGGGAAGGTGAGAGGCTTAATAAGTCTGTGTTGGTAGCAACGTGAATTCTCTCTTATGCATATTGTCCATTTTACTCTGTATTGTAAGTTCATTTGATAACTTTAGATGATTTAATCTTCTTTATATCACGGCTTTGCAAAATCAAGGTCCCATCTCTGAATTTTCCGACTTGTCCTGCAGGCCAAATGCTAGGCACTGATTTCTTCCTTTTGGCCTTCCTGAAATAGGAGAACAACAACACAAAAGGAGTAAGAGAAACAACAGAAACTCATGAAAACTCTTAGTATGGTGAAAAATATTCAAGCAATCAGTGTTTGGTATTATGGAATATCACATCAAAGCAAGTAATGACCCCAGAACGTTTACTGCCTGCATAGACATTCAAAATTTGCAGCGCATTACCAAGTGATTTATATTTTAAAGGGTTTAGAAACACAAAGACTTTTGGAAAGAGCAAGAAAAGTGCATTTCAGTGGACCTGCTACACTACGATTAAGAATGTCACTTCACCTTTCAAGCCTCTGTATACTGTAGCTTGTGTTTTGCACAAATTAATTCTCAGAGTGAATGCTCTGTGTAAGTGGCATACCCTGGGTCTGCACTCAAGGATTTCCATCCGTCTCACCTCTGACTGCAGTCTTAGACATGTTGGCACAGAACTGATGTATTTTCAGTTAAGCTGCATAACTAAAGCTTCTGAAACTGTGAAGACACAGAGCAACATCACCATTTTGTGACTGAGTCCTTCTGCAGTTGGAGAAGTTCCTTCCACTGTGATCTGCATAACTTCTGGTATAAGACTGTGCATACTTACATTAGGAAAATACACTGGGGAGGCTATACAAACGCAAGTTATTTTTAACCATGTTAAAAATGGCTCACCTCTCCTTCTGTTCTTTCTTCTTCTTAAGAGTATCACCTTTACGTTCCTGCTTTTAAAGATACATATTTTAATGGAAAAGGAACAGAGCATATTGGCTAAACAACCACCTGCACAGACAACGTATAGTTGGTAGCCTTTGCATCATGGAGCAGCAGACATTTAAAGCAGGTTGGGAGACCTTCTGATAGGCCAAGTGATGCAACACGTTACAAAGACACTGCTAGGAGTGCCCAGAGGCCTTCCTGTCACCTTATGGAAAGTACAGCCCTCTCATGACTAACATGCTGCCCCTGCTATGTGAGGAAAGAGGCTTGCTTTTTGGGCATGTGACAGATCATTGGGTCAAAAGATGGACTTGCTCCCTGGCAGGTGTGTCTTGTCACCTGACTGAGCATACCTGTCAAATAATAGGGTTCAACCATGTCTGGTCATGAACTGGATGCACTTTGAGCCACATGAGAGAGGAGAAGCAGGTCCCCTAGGTGGCATGGAACAGGCTGGTTGAGCAATTACCCGCCCCACATTCTGCTCCCACCTACATGAGAAGGCTCCACGGAGAGGCAGGGAGTAGGCTCAGAGCCAGATGGGCCATATTAGAGGACAGATGCAATAGAAACCTCACCCTTGCTTTAAACAATGAGCAAGATCCTAGATGGAATTGTGCTGACATAAAAGCAGCTGAAGATCTGTCTCTCTGTGATCAGACAACATGCAACAAACTTTCATTGAAGGGCACTTTTTCCCCCTTAAGAGGCAAGAGAAAAAAACAACAACAAATCAACAACTGGTGATTTTGTGTCATCAGTCTATCAGCCTCAAAGGATTAAGCAGTGAAACCCACCACAACACAAGCCTAACTCCATGGCCTTCACACTGCATACAGGCAGCTTTTACTAATGAGATTAGTCTTGCTGCAGCCAGGAACCCACTCCATGGGGAGCAGCCAGTGTCAAGCTGGGGCACTCCTCCTGCGCCTGAGGCGTTATCTGTCAGGGTCTTGGACTAGCTCTTACATGCTGCCTTTTTACATAGAAAACGTAACACAAACCTTTCCCTTATCATCATCCTTTGCTGGTTTTTCCTCTTTCATTTTCTTTTGGTAAGTCTTGTAGTTCCAATGTTCCTTTTTTGGGGGCTGCAATAAAGAACGGGAGGGATACCACTGATGAAATTTTCAAATAGGTTCAAAAAGTATTCACACACTTGCACAGACAATTTCCTTTTGAGTGAGAAGAAGGGACTAAGGAATGCAAGGTAGACACATAGAGACAGTAAAGAGGGATGTTTATGCTTTATATCAGTCCTACAAGGCTTCCACATAACACACTGAACTAGAAAGAAAACCCACACCCGCCAACCCCCCAAAACTCTACAATTTTATTTTTTCTTTTACACTACTGATGATAAATAAAATTGTAAAGTTCTCCCATCTTTAACTCAACAGAAGAGTGAAGCTTTAAAGCGCAATCCCCTCTCTCCAACAATTTAATTCTGAATGATCTGATTAAAAAAAATAAAAATAAAAAAAATTAGTAAGTGTTGGTTTCTGCCCCATCACTCATATTTCATCTATACAACATCTCTGATAACACAGCCACACTCATTTTCTGAGCATCTACATAAAACAGACAAGACAGAATAGAAAATACAAAAGTAAGGATGGAGTGGAAGAAGGGTCAGGGCAGGGGATCTTCTGTTTCAAACAAATAGTGGCAAAGCTCTCCAGTGCTTTTACTGCTTTCCTGCACTCTAACAGCTGGGTGACAGCACAAACCAAGTGACAATTACCTTAGCTCCCAGCATGATAGCACGCTCCTGTTCCCATATGCGTTGGTCCTGCTTCTTGTAGCCAGTTATTCCAAACTTGTGCACTTCCAGACGAGCCTAAAACATTACAGAAAATTGCAAGCACTTCACAGTCTGTCCAGCTTGTTGTAAAATAACTCTTGACAGACTACAACAAGGTCATACTCCCAAAGAAACTCTGGCTAACACCTGAAATCAATGTGCTATAAAATACAACTGAATTTAAATTTAAAGCTGTCCTGCAGAACAGTTAACCACTGTCTATCTAATCTCTGGGTGGTGAGGGCTGTCAGGACAATTTTCCATTCTCATTTCACATAAAATAACATGGAATGTATCTCCTTCATATAAAAATAAATTATATTGTGCTGCACAAAGAACAATGAAATGCTCTACCCACAGCACCCAACATTTAAACAATGTCCTCATTCCTTGGCTGGAGAGCACTTAACCAGTGAGAAACATAGATGGGCAGAGGGTGAAGTGGTTTAACTATGCACATACATATACCTGACACTGCACAAGAATACCCTTGCAAAACCAGTGTTGAATTCATCATCTTTTTAAAGTCAGTGGTTAAATCCCTGCTGTTCTTAGCAGTACAGAGCTCCATACAGAATCTCCAGTGAGAGATTTCACTGGATCACAGCACATCCCTGCAGAGATCAGGTATATAAAACAACTTGCACAGATCTGCAAACAAATCACTAAGAAGGACAATGCTAGTTGAACAGATGAGACTAAAAAGACAAATGGAAAAAAAGTCATCTGCTGTTTCACAAAGAGATGCAAATATACTTTTGCGCCCTCACACATGAGAACAGAAATCCAGGATTAACACCATGGCCTGAAAGAGCTCTGCTAAACATGTCGGTACTTGCACAGCTTTTCACATCTAACATAGAATGATCCTCCGCAAATTCTCATAGAAAGATGAGAAAGAAAGGACACAAAGTTGTAACATGCCTCTTTTCAAACAGAACAGTTGACAATAGCCAGCATGCACCCTTTGGCATGGCATGCATCCAAAATTACCTATAAGGAAATCCTCACCTACAAGACATAACCTTTTCTGGAAGCGTTTCCCATCAGTCCCACCATGGCTTCTCCAAGGATACAAATACATATACCTGCACACTAAAATAGAGAGATTAGATAGGCCCTGCTGACTTACTTTTTCAAAGTTAAATTCTTGTTTGTCTGCATTTTTCTCTTCATCCACTGGTTTGGTCTATAAACAAAATAAATAATTTTGAATTAACATAACTATTAACACCAGTTTAAATGCTGATTGTAATAGTCTTCTGGAAAGTAGTGAAATGTTAAATGATTTGTAGGGAAAAGTATACAGCTTTCCAGCAGTACCTTCTTCTGGGTTCACTACCTGGATTTATCAAAAGACACAGTCTCAATGGCATTTTTAATACATAGATATTTTAGGGTCTTACTGAAACCAACTTGCACAATTTATAGGGTGTTATTATAGCACAGTGCATATAGCTTTGTCCTGCATTTTCTTGCCTGGATCATGTGCTAACACTTACAAAGCATTTCATAATTCAGAAAGATACTAACGGCTATAATTAACTTTTATACTTTCAATTACAAATTACATTTTATGAGAGAAAAACTGACATATATGAGGTAAGCATCACACGTATTCCCATTTCCAAATCCATACCAAACTGCTAACGCAAGTCAGGGCATGAATTTTAAGTCATTCTCTTTGAGATGGAGAGCACAGGGGTAATAGCTCATGTACTGATAGCTAGCAGTGACATGCAGAACAAGCTTAGTTTGTAACTGCAAGGACAGATATCCAGATATATCCAGCTCAACTAATGCAAGAGAAACAGCTCCAAATGATGCACTGTCAGCAAATGGTGAACTCCACTTAATGCTGTTTAAAGGAACTACTTGCTCAAAATGAGATCAGTGAAAATTACATCTTTTCTACTCCCTGATTTAAAAAGAGACCTTCCATCAGCAGTACTTGGTTTGGAGAGGAACTCTCCAGGGAGGACAGACCTTATCCTAGGAAGAAAAAGAAGTGCAAAATCCCCAGGGATAGCTCCACACCTGCTTGGTACGAGAACATCCCACATGGGACACTTCAGAGCAGTAGCAAATCAACCAGGGTTATTTTGGATTGTGCCCAGCTCCTGATTTCAAGGGGGATGTGCTGAACCACCTCTCTGAACAGATGCTCTGCCTGCTCCCAAGCAGGCTGGGCCAGGTGGAGAAACAGTGGTCTGTTCAAAAGTAGCATGTACTTGTCTTTCCCTGCTTGCTCTCAAGGGCACTATCCTCTCTAAGGAAGCAGGAGTATTAAATATGTGTTAAAACTGAACCTAAAGGCTTTTAATGCATTTCCTTTTCACTCTCCAGGACATTGAGTCACATATTCAGATCCCAGGCTTGTATCAGCTCTTCCCTCTGCATCCACCAGAGGCAAACCCAAACTTCTCTCCACTCTGCAAAAGTTTCTACATAAAATTGTCCATTTCGATCACACACACAAAAAAAAGCTATTTTGAAAACATTTTATTAACAAGCCTAACGCCAGTCTTTTCAGGGAGAAAAAAATTAAGTTGTAAAAATTGTTAATAAAAATAACAATCTAGGCCAATTTTGAGAAGAAAACATGCCAGAAAAAAAAAAAAAAAAAACCAAACAAAAAACCACAAAGGTGTATGGATTCAGCCAACTGCTTGGTCAGTCTCTCAAACTTCCCAATTCCAAGGGTCAAACCCCAGACATCAGGAAGTCTCCCTGAATTCAAAACAGCTGTGTTGGCCCTTCAGAGCTTATTTTAGAATTAGGCTTCTGATGTTATGGCCATAAGCTATGAAATCTGGTGGCCAATCAACCAGCAAGGTACCCTCTGCTCTGCATGAAAGGCAGCTCAGCTTCCAGCAAAGCCTCCCCAGGCCTCCTGCTGTTGAAGAAACTCAGCCACAGGTTTTGGTAGCACAATGGGAATTTAGCATCAGCAAACCAAACCAGAGGAGTGAGATCTAATGCCTTCTCACATTGACCAGCCAAATGTGATCACAGAATCATAGAATAGTTAGGGTTGGAAAGGACCTTAAGATCATCAAGTTCCAACCCCCCTGCCATGGGCAGGGACACCTCACATTAAACCATGTCACCCAAGGCTCTGTCCAACCTGGCCTTGAACACCGCCAGGGATGGAGCATTCACAACCTCCTTGGGCAACCCATTCCAGGGCCTCAGCACCCTCACAGTAAAGAACGTCCTCCTTATATCCAATCTAAACTTCCCCTGTTTAGGTTTTAACACGTTACCCCTTATCCTATCACTACAGTCCCTAATGAAGAGTCCCTCCCCAGCATCCCTATAGGCCCCCTTCAGATACTGGAAGGCTGCTATGAGGTCTCCACACAGGCTTCTCTTCTCCAGGCTCAACAGCCCCAACTTTCTCAGCCTCTCTTCATACGGGAGGTGCTCCAGTCCCCTGATCATCCTTGTGGCCCTCCTCTGGACTTGTTCCAACAGTTCCATGTCCTTTTCATGTTGAGGACACCAGAACTGCACACAATACTCCATGTGAGGTCTCACAAGAGCAGAGTAGAGGGGCAGGATCACCTCCTTTGACCTGCTGGTCATGCTCCTTTTGATGCAGCCCAGGATACGGCTTTCTGGGCTGCGAGCACACGCTGAAGCCGGCTCATGTTCATTTTCTCATCAACCAACACCCCCAAGTCCTTCTCCGCAGGGCTGCTCTGAATCTCTTCTCTGCCCAACCTGTAGCTGTGCCTGGGATTGCTCCGACCCAGGTGTAGGACCTTGCACTTGGGCCTCCAAGACGCATGTTCCTTGTGAACAGCCAAGTGGTGGTGTGATACTAGAGAAGAAAAGAACGCTTTGGCAGATCACATCCACACCTACTGACAAGAACAGAGCAGCACACAAAGTGCTTAGGCACAGAAGTAGCCAAGAGGCTTTGCTTCCTGTTCATTGATTTCTCGCTGTAGACAGGACTCTTATTAAGAGTCTATCTGCAGATTGATTTATTTTGTTGGGATAAATCTATTTCAAATATAGGATACTTATTCCAAGATCTTTTAAAATTGGAAGGAAAAAAAAAAAGTGTTCAAGTCCTGCCCCTTCTTCAGATGGCCCCTATCAGCAGCACTACTGCAAATCTCAGGATTGGATGCTGTCAAGCCTTGCACACACATTGCCAAAGGATCTCGGATTTCCAGCTAGCTGTACTAGCAGGAGGGAAGAAACTCGGCATGGGAGTGGAATTATGGAAAGTATCTCACAGTTTACAGTGTCAGACCGGGGAAACAGAAAAACTAAATCACAAACATACAGAAACGCTTGCCTCCTTTCAATTGTCACGAGGAAAGGGCATCCCAGTCCAGCTCCGGCTCAGGGTCAAGGCTCCGGTGGGGCTTAAAAAGAAATACCTCACCCGCCCGCCCGCCCTCTGCCCGGCCCTACCTGGGTACCGCCGATGGGGGGCGCCGGGGGCCCCTTCTTCTTCCTGCCCCGAAACACCACGACCTCCACAGCCGGCGGCGCGGCAGAGGGCGGCGGGACGGCGGCGGCATCGCCCAGCTCCGCCCGCAGCTCCCCGAAGAAGTCGCGGGCCCGGCGCCGCCCGCCCACCGCCAGCTGCGGTTCCCGGCTCTCCTCCGCGGCCGCCGCCCCTGCGCTCACGCCGCTGTCCTCCGCGGCGCGCCGAGCACCGGTCTCCTCACCTGCGGGCGGAACACATGCTCCGGGTCAGCTGTGCTGTGCGCGGCCGCCGTCACCCCGCTCCAGAGTGAGAACGCGCGACCCCGCTTCACCCCCCTGCCCAGCCTCCAGGGAGGGCGCCGCTCCCGCCCGCCCGCTCACCCACCCAGGTCATAGAGGGCACCGAGCACCGCCTCCAACCGGCGGCACGGCTCCCGCGACCCCATGGCAGCGGCGGGCGGAAGCGCGTTTGATCCCAAGCGGCTCCCGTCGCCCCCAAGATGGCGCCGCCCATCGCGCGGTGCCCCCGCCCTCCTCCGCGCCTGCCGCAGCGCTCCGGGCAGCCGAGCCGGGGCGGTGCGAGGCTATGGGTACCGCGGGAGGTGGCCGCGGCCGGGAGGCCACTGCGACGGGGTAGGGCGGCTGAGCGGGGCGCGGGGCGGCGCGGAGGAGCGCGCAGGACCATGGCAGCGACTACAGCGGCAGCGACACCCGGGCGGGGGCGACGAGGGGCACCCATGTACTCGGTAGGCAGCGTCGAGGAGCGAGGTGCGGTGCCGTCGGGGAAGGGGCTGCCCGCTCGCCCCCGTGCCGGTGCCGTTCACTCTGAAGCGGAGTAACGGTGCGTGGCGCAACCCCTCTTGCTCCCGGCTTGGGGGCCGCGCTCCGGAGGAAGGCTTGCGGGTGTGTCGCGCACGACTTCCCCGGCCTTACCCCCGGTGAGGGGAGGGGGCAAGCGGCGGCGCGGCCTCGGTGAGAGGACTCCGCTTTTCGGGATTTGGGCGGTCCGAGCTTCTGCCGGGCCCCAGCTGGGGCAGGTCGTGGCTAGACAGGAACCGGACATTTCCCCTCGCAAGTTCACCTTCACTAGGCGGCCTGCTTCTCCTCTCTGGCTGCTTCCCCAGTACCTGTAGTGTCAGTCGCGACAGTCGAAGCCCGACGCCGAGCGCTGCTTCCCCCCATATATATGCTGTGAAACGGCAACCGGTTTAAAGAAGGTCGGGCTGGTGGTGGCTTGGGCTCTTCTTGGGAGCAGCAGTGTCCAGCAGCACTGCAGCCAGACCTGGAGGAGGAGGAAGGGTTGGTCGGGGCTGTGGGGGCTCCCTGTGGGAACCAAAGCTGCCAGAAGCCATGAGTTCAGTGCTACAAAATTGCAGTAGAGATGGAGTGGCGGAAGCATGTTTTCCCGTGTTACATGATGGAAATGGCTATTGACCTTGCCGTTTCACCACAGCTCCTGTGCTAGCCTCGGAGAAGGAGGTGTGGGTGCGTGCATTTGGAGGAGGGGACTGGGAAGAGAGGGAAACAGCTCCTGATTTAACCAAAGATTCCTAAACTTGTGTCTCTTGTCTGTATGCTTGTATCCCAAGTGCATCATGAACACCCTTGTTTTGTTGCTTTCAAAGCTTCTTCAGAAGCAGAGGAGTGCCAGGCTTCTGCTGTTTGTCTTTTGTACTTAACCGGTGTTGCAATAACAGTAGACATAACTGGATTTTCTGATGTTAGGGCTTCCAGCAGCCTATTTTCTCAGTGTGCTCTCTCTACCAGTCAGCACCTGAAGCTGGAACAGCAACTTGGCTGTAATGCGTGAAAGTCTAATTCTTCCGTTGCGGTTGGTAAAGTGTGTGTTTTGGCTCCCTCAGCCCTACTTCAGGACAGAGCGTGAAAATAACTATTGCCATGGAGAGAAATCAGTTGCACATAAAATCTGTAAACATCGAGTGAAGAGCAGTGATAGCTAGGTGACCTTTCAGTTGGTCATGGCCTTGTCAAACCTCCACTCACCAGAGCTGCGTTAGGGAACGGCTACAGCAGCACGGTGACGGCTGATTGGGTGCTGAATGCTGGGCTGAGTGCTGGGTTTTGTGTAGTTGTACATTGCAGGATTTAAACTTTGGTAATTGATGCAAATGGTGTGTAGATTTTCTGAGCAATGACTTGTCACATACTGAACTAAGTAGGTATGTTCTTAGAGCCAGCTAATGTTTTCTGGTACTCTTCTGAGATGCTTTTTTTGCTATTACAGAGCACAAGGGATTTTTTTTGTTGTTCTGTTTTGTTTTTAATCAAGGTGGTTGATACAAGGTGTCCATGCCAACAGATGGCTAATACAAACTATTTCCAGTTTTCTTAACAGTTCTTAGCATGCCTGGCGCTTGCAAAGCCAACTAGTTGAAAGCTGTGGAAGAAGAAGGATATAAAACTGATACTAAACCATACAGGTGGAAAAAAAACCCAAACCTTAAAGTTTTGAATTAATATTGGCCTGGGCTTAATATCTTTTATAGGACTGTTTTAAAAGTCCCTGGGGAGTTTGTTCTGCTGCTACTGTGGGACAATTCTCTAAGTTACAGTAGTGCAAAGAAACATTAGATGATCTACCAAATGCTACTGGAGAATAAGGATGGTATCCAAATTTACTATACTGTGTGTGAAAAATAATATGAGAAGGTCAAACACTATGTTAGGATGTATGCTCTCTGATAAAATGAAATTGGCTTTCAATGCAGTTGAGGCTTTGAAGGACTTTTTGTGGTTCTTGAGTGGAGATACTCCTGCTTTTGGGGCTTTGTTTTGCCAAATTATCTTGTCCTGATGAATGGCCAGGGACTGAATGTTGCTCTCTACTTTAAATGTCAGCTGCACTGACCTGCTGACAGTGAAACCTGATTCCCTCTCCCAAGGCTGAAAACACTGCTGGGCTCTTTGCTTCTCTGTTCCCGGTGTTCTCCCTGGTGTTTGCAGGCCAGGCTTTCCTCTCGGCATCAGAAAAGGTCAGAGCTCATGGAACGGCAGGGTTTATCCTTCATTGTCAGACTGGTTCTGCACAGGTTGTATACAGCGAGGGGAGGCAAGGCAGAATGAATGAAAGGGATGCATGTACTACCCCTTCAGGTGGTGCTGCAGAAGACATCAGCATTCTTAGTTTTAGTGTGTTCTTCTAATGAGTATGCTTGATCATAACCAATACTGACTGACACCTGCAGCAGGACAGATCTACAATTAATTCTTGATGTACCATTTGATCATTTGACCATTAATTTCCTGCTTAGTGGTGTTGGTTACTCAGAGGCCGTGCTCTGTTTTTACCTAAGTGTGCACCCTGTTGCATTTTGATCTTCAAGTGGCTGATAATGCTCTTTTATTTGTTCCTGACTGGCTGTGTTTTATATACCTTGCTGAAAGCCAGCGCAAATCACCGAGATCTGAGATATAACTTAAAGTAGCGGGGATTATTTTTTTGTGTTGATGATTATGTTTTTATAAGGTCATTTGTGGCACTGTATTCATGAAGTTGTGAAAGCTGGAATCAAAGGTGATTCAGTTAATACCTATTAATCATGGAGATGCTGGAGGCAAGGCACTTTAGCTTTCCAAGCCCAGGTATTTTCTCAACTTCCTGCTCTTGGGCAGAATTAAGAAGCATGACGTGGGGTGTTGCGGATATCTGCAGTTGAAAAGGGCTAGGGGTTTTGTTTGGCAGTTTTGTTTTTTGGTGGGTTTTTTAGTTTTTGTCTGCATCATTGTTCCAAGCAGGTAATACTTGTTATGCGCTCTGAGTGTGGAATGCAGACACTTATAGAAAACTAAAAAAAAAACCAAACCCCAAACATTGCAAAAGTATTGCATGTTGGAGCACCTCTCCTGTGAAGACCGGCTGAAAGAGCTGGGTTTGTTCAGCCTGGAGAAGGCTCAGGGGAGATCTCATAGCAGCCTTCCAGTACCTAAAGGGGGCCTACAAGAAATCTGGAGAAGGACTTTTTACAGGGACATGTAGGGATAGGATAAGGGGGAATGGTTTTAAACTGAAAGAGAGGAGATTTAGATTAGATATTAGGAAAAAATTTCTTACTATGAGGATGATGAGGCACAGGAATAGGTTGCCCAGAGAAGTTGTGGATGCCCCATCACTGCAGATGTTGAAGGCCAGGTTGGATGGGGCTTTCAGCAACCTGGTCTAGTGAGAAGTGCCCCTGCCTGTGGCAGAGGGGTTGGAACTCGGTGATCTTCAAGGTTCCTTCCAACCTAAACCATTCTATTATTCTGTGATCATTTTGGTACTGCAGCCAAGCAGACCACTGAATGGATTGAGACAGTGTCTCATTATTTGTTTGTATGTCCCCAGCAGAAAGAGCTCACATCAAAGAAAAGAGATGAGTTTGAAGATATCTTGGAGGAAAGACGATTGTCCAGTGACTTGAGATACGCAATGAAATGTTATACTCCTGTGATCTACAAGGGGCTTTCACCTTGCAAGCCAAACGCTATTAAAAGTGCTGTTCTCCAGTCAGAGCAAGTTCAATATGTTATCAAGCAGGTGAGTCTGGACACTGAGCTGCAAGATGTGGTGGATTTAACATAGCCAAGTTTTGTGTGCCAGCAGGGAAAAAGATTATGGCTGACCTTGTCAAGCATGATAGCTGTACTTCAAAAGACAGTCCAATAAATCAGTAACTTGAGAGCTGTGCTCTTTTGGCAGGAAAAACAAATGTTCATTTACCATGGAGTTGCCACTGAAGCTGTTAGATAGCTGATTTATGAAATAGTGTTTTGATTTTGCAACACTTCACCATCTAATTTATCCCATGTGCTCGACTGGTATTTTTCCTTCTCCATTGTCTTTGCACAGATCAGCATTATGAAAGACATAAGCACTCTCCGTCTTAGTAGATGCTTTTGTACTTTGAGGATGTCTTGGAGGAATTTTATAGGCTAATGATGCATTTATGAATCAGTCATGAATGCACCTTCCCCAAAAAAATGAGAGTTAGATTTCATAGAGAATTCTTTAAGTTAGAAACACTAAGGTGTAACTATAGCTTCATTTTAATATGAAAGGCAGCTACTACTTTGTAATTAATAAAATATTTTATAGTCAAACAGGCGTATATTTTACATTGTGTTGAAGTGGCTGCAATAACTGTGTTAGTTAGCAGGGTAATTATTTCCAATATTAATGAAAAATAATTCCAGGCCAGTAGAGGTATGTAACATATTGTGGGGAGTCCTGAGTGGCTACCATAACATTTTTCTTTTTCCTTTTTTTTCTTTAAATGGTCAGTGTTACTTATGCTCTATCAAAGCCTGTTACAATGTGACAAACTGGACCATGTTCTACAAAGTAGTCCTGTTGCCATCATGAATGGCTAAGTTGCATGAGATCAAAAAACCCGAATCTTTCAACTTTAGAAGTACTAAAACATTTACTGAAAGAACATATTTTACAGAGGTGTTGACAGAAAGACATCTGTGTGACTTCTTTTCTTCTGAAGTG